AGCTACTGTTGTCATAGCCCAAGGTGCCTTACTGATGTTGAGTTCAAGAGCTAGTGCCCGTTGTGATGGCACATGCAGGTATACCTACCTGGTGCCATACCCCTAAGGAAAACTGACTCCCCTTCCCCTAGCAGCCATCACCTGTTGACAGCGCCTCAGCCAGGAGTCGGGGCTTGTGAGCACCTCCACTCTCGATGCTCAACTGTTTAGTGGCTTCATGTTCTGAAGTGTGAGTCCAGGGGTGCAGTGGTCCACCCTCTGGCTCTTAAAATCTTTCTGCCCTTTTCTGTAATGTCCCTGAGACTTGGGGGAAGGAGGTGTGATGCAGATGTCCCATTTACAGGTGAGTAAGGACTTAAGCTTTTCTAAAGAGACATATTTGCTCCCCTTCAGCTGTCCAGACTGCTGAGAGAATGATCCTCAAGGAACTGGCATTTCATGCTGGGAAAAGGCTAAGAGAGCAGCCTGATGCCAGCCAGAGGAACTTGTCTCCCAGAAGAGATTTCCCAAAGTTCTGACAACTTGTCAAAGCACCACTTGCAGGAGATTTGGGAGCTGAGACAATGATGGCCAGTGATGGGTAAACCCATTGCTTATGTGTGTGTGTGTGTGTGTGTGTGTGTGTGTATTCATATATGTATATGTGTATGTATCTTTATACATCTTGCTATGTAAGTCTCATGTCAGGGCCACAAAGATGGATTTGGGAGGTCACTGAACCTCTTTATTGGTTCCTTTTCGTGATGTGGCACCTCTGGATAAATTCCCTTTTCATTGTCATGTTTAATTGACCTACCGGAGAGAGGTGGCCCAGTCTGCTTGTCAGGGCTGCCAGGATTCAGGTTCTGACCTAACAACACTGGACACAAGCACAGGTCAACAAAAGTGAAAGTTCATTTTGGAAGTTCCTTTGAGGGGCTTCTTGGGGACCGCCTAAGGCCTGTTTCTGCTAAAATGTGCTGGTCTGTGTGCTTGTCTCCCCATTCTCACAGCTTTCCTCCGGGAAGAAGCCACACACAGATGAGAGAGAGTCCTGCTCGCTCTCCTTAGAGGCCCATGTCAGCACACGGCCACTTGTAGCATGTCTTTCCAAGTCTGTGTTCACTGTGACTCAGTGCATCTCAGCTGCCTTTGCACACCTGGGAGTGCTGGGACAGTTTCCCCAAAAAATAAAAAGAAGGGTGTGCTAAGAGGTGGCATTTCATCACATGACTTTGATGCATATAAAAAAATTTAAAAAATAAAAATGATTTCTCCTCTTGATCAATGTGGAGAATCCTCTCCTTGAATATATGCACAATGATTGCATTGTTGTGAGAGTTTGCCAGCTCACTGCTTCTTGTGTTTGCAATCAATCACCTAGGCATGAACTGAGGTAGAGGCTGGCCAGAGCTCAGGCTGCTGCTGCTGCCCCCATGTGACTGCTAGGCCATACTGCATGCTGCTTCTACCAGGGCATTTCATCTGCTAGCTGGTTTGTCTGCCCGCTGGTTTCTTCCTTGTGAACACACTTGAATACCAAGGAGGGAACTTCTGTGTGTGGAGCTACGACTAAGCTTCCCCTTATGATAAGCTCACTGAGGCCCAGGGACACATGTGCCTTGAATCATCAGTGTGCTGAGATCACCTAGGCCAAAGTCCTGGAGAGACAGCACCTATATACTGGGTGCCTACAGAAGCTGGTGTGAGGGAAGGACTGTACCAGAACCTTCACTCCATCTTCCCAGGACATCAGTGATACCATGCAGCTGGCGCGGTGGAAGGAATTAGGATTGGAAGGGGAAGAGGTACAGAGATTTCTTCTCTGAGACTGGCCTGAACAAACAACAGAGCCCCAGCCCCACCGAAAGGCCTGTGCTTCAAATAAGTACCTGCTCCCTGGGGCAGCGCTCACCTCAGGGTGCTAAGCAGGATGTTGAAAAACAAAGGTCTCACAAACCAACAGCCTGAACCCTAGATGTCACGGGAAGAATCTAAAGCAAGTCCCAGTCAGACCTGACAAGACTTCAATAGAGCCTCTCCCCCACCACCGAAGCTTAGCAAGGAGAAAGGCACAACTGTACTGGGAGAAAGGGCAATGACTTCAGCATGAGAACAGCAATGTTGTAAACCTCAGGAAAATCACACTTAGAACTTCTAAGAGCTGTGAGTGATACATCAGCATACACACAAATTGTGTGGAATTATGATTAACACAACTTACTCAAGGGGGAAAAAGGAAAATAAATACATTACACCAATCCTGGAAAGTTCTTTTATTCTTACCTCTTCCCTAGTGTTGCATCAGGCTCCTTGGTGCCCTCTCGTGTCCTGATTTCTCCGCTGTCACACTGCTCCAGCAGCCTCCCAGGCTACCTGTGCTAATCTGTTCTAACATCACCATGATCAAAACACTATAGAGAAACTAGGGGTAGAAGAGCTGAAGAAGAGGCGAGATTTATTTTGTCATCATTTCTGAGGGCTCAGGCCATGGTGCTGGGGAGTGGTGTGACTCAGAAGAGTGGGTCCCATCATGGAGGGACAGGAAGCAGAAAGACGGAAACGTTGACCCTCATCTGCTTCTAGAGCTTCAACCCTGGGGAAAACGTGGCCCATATTCCACAGTAAGTTTTCCCCTCAGGTAATCCTCTCTGAACTGCACCCACAAACACACCCAGAGGTGACTCTCAATCCTGTTCATAGTGAGGATTAAACATGGCAAAGCCCTCCCAGGTTGAGTCGACCTCATGCTTGGGTTTGCCAGGCCCTCAAAGTCACCTTCCCAGACTCTAAAGAAGGACCGTCCTGTTTCCAGCAAGGGGAGATTTTCTGAGGGAGAACCACAGGCTAGCACAGTTATCCTCTGCCCTTCACTGTCCCTGTCATTGGAGGCCAAGAGAGGCCAGTGCAGAGGTGCAGGGGGGAGACACACTGTGGGCTGTGTTCCCTAGAGGGGAGAATGGGGCAATAGCTTGGCCTGCTTTCCTTTTTCCGAGATCATGAATTTCTGTATAACTCACAGAATATTCAGCAGTGAAGCTTGGAAAGGAAATACTCTGTGCAACTGTGGGAGTGGAAGCCACACAGATTAAGTGACAGGGAAAGGCACGCTACCCAGGAGCAACAGCAGGCAAGGAACAGTCTCTCCACCGGTTGCTCTCAGCACCTGACTCAGGCAGGACCTCAGATGTACCCAGCCTTCCAGAGGCCCACAGAGCTACTACAGTACTGGCCCTTCTTCTCGTTATGCCTTTTCTGTCCTTCTCTGCGATACAAGTCAGCCTGAACAGCCCCAAAGGACAAAAATAAATAAATAAACCTCAAACACTGCTATGCTTGGGCCACATAACTCAAAAGCCATCACAACAACCAGGAAGCCATCCACGTCCAGCCAAGAGCCATGCGAAGGATGGAGATGACTGTCCATAGCCACAGTTATCTGAGAGTCCCAGACACTAAGATATGGATAAAATCCATAAAAAAGAGGAGTACTGATTCCTACTTTAAGAAAGAAACCTATAAACAGCATCCTGAGTCATGAGTTTTATGAAGCTGCAGAGAGGAGAGTCCAGCTCTTTGTTTAACACAGATTGGCTACGCACACACTTGCTCAGTGGCACCGTGCCAATCACATAAACATGCCCTCCATCACACATTCTCCCTTCCTGCCAAGCAGTGGCCGCCACTGTGTTCCTCCATCTCTGTCTGCAGTTATCCACTGCTTCCTGTCATTCAGTGACCAGCATGGCAGGGGATAAAGACTCAGTGCCACCTTGTGGAGAGAAACCAGACAACTACAATCGCATCTGTCTGGGTCAGCATGCCATGCTACATGTGCATGTACCTGTGCATGCCTGCATGTGTGTCTTGTTGTTCATCTACTTGTGTATCACATGTACAAGTACACACTGAGATAAGTCTGAACAGCCTTAGAGCTGAGCTTCTACAGATGGGATAAACTAATCTGAACTACTTGTTTTCATGATAAACAAGTGGGCTTTGAGTCAACACAGTGAGAAAGGAAGCAAAGCTTGATGGGTTGCTGGGGGTTACAGACACCGAGATAGGAAGTCAGAGCATCCAGCTGTGACGCACTGGGGAAATAAGTGTATATTCCCATGGGCTCAGATGCAGGCAGCAAAGTTTTTCAGCCACCTTCTGGGCCCAAAACATTCCAGTTCTGACGGGGAAAGTGCAGAAAAAGCTCGAAATATGCTGCATACATTCCCTACAGATGGACTAGCAAGACATAGGGAATTTTCCAGGAGCTCACCCTCAGACTCTCCTGAGTGGCTTTGACATGTGTGGTATTCCAATACACAAACTGGAACTTGAACCGAAAGGAGATGGTGCCTTTGGGGAGGAAGAGTCCTCCTGAATGGATTAGAGCTGCTGCAGGCTGCAGGAGAAGGAAGGGAGCGTGTTAGCGCCCTCTGTCTGTCCTTTGCCTTCTGCCAAGTAAGACACGGCTGCATGGTGCCATCCTGCAGGTAGAACTTTGGACTTCTAGCCTCTCCAACCAGTTTCTGGCATTTACAAATTGTTAAGACAGCACCAATGCATCGATGCCTCTCCTATTGCTCCATATTCAAGAAAACATTATTATTTCTATATGAAGATGGTTTTCATAAGAAGCACACTGTAAAATATAAAATATGTCTGACCCAATTCTATGAGTGCCATTTAAATCACACCAAGAGCTGGTGTTAAAGAAAACTTTAAAAATAGAAGGCTGGTGGAGGTCATCTCCAAAGTGAGCAGTTGTTTTTGTTTTGTTTTGTTTCTTTACTTTAGATATATGTTCATTATTTTATGCATAGCTAAGAAAATATTCTAATTATTAAAGTACATTTTCAGGACAGGCTGTTTAAAATCCAGTAATATAATTATGACAGTATTTTTAAATTGTTCCAAAAATAACTGCAAATACTCTTAGTCGAGCTTTCTGGACATCACTCAGTATTTCCTTTGAAGTTCAGTATACACTAAAGTGTTCATTGTTTCCATTAAAAATAGTGATTTATTTCTGGGAATACCAAAGTACCGTTCTTCTAAAACAAATTATGTACAGAATATACATATCCTATGTACACAAATCACATCAACACAGAGTCAAGGGATCCATCTTGTAATCAAGTCTTAGGTACTCGTCATCCTCCTGACACTAAGTTTTCACTTGTGAAGAAGCACGTGCAGCTGGCTGTGCTCATCCGCCGCTGGGGTGGTCCACCGCCTCTTCAGGTACTGGATGTCGACTGTGCCAGAGGCCCTGGCCAACACCAGGGCCATAAAGCTACCACTGACCTTCTCGGGATCCCCCATGATGGTCATGGCCACAAGCCTACAGGTGAGAAAGAACATGAATTAGGAAGTCAGTACACAAGTGTGTGACTTCTTGCTACCTGAGTCTCTCCAAATATCTGTATTCAAGGGAAGTGTAGGATAGAAGAGAAGCTAAAAAAACGTTAAGACAAAATACTACAACAGAAATAAATATATTAAAATTTCTGCATCTCAGGGATCTGCTGATAGGCAGATCCAGGAAGACACCTCAAAGGATGTATATCTGCAGACACCTCCCCACCCACAGAAGTGACATTCCCCACCTGATGGCCCTCCCTACCTTCAGGAGTGAATACCTAACAGTGGGGCCTTCAAAGTACCTCAGCAGGCTCTCCAATCACACAGGCAGTGAGAAGATGCCCAGGGTGGGGGTTTCTCAGTATCTCAGGTCACCAATCTCTACCACAGTTGAATAACTGTCGAGGCCCACAATCTGTTCTCAGCTGAGGCCTGCCCCTGAGCCTCGACCCTCTACAACAACGAGCTCCTGTGAGCAGCACCCATTCCATTATGTGCTCTAGGGAGAAGCCTGTGTGCCCTCCCCATGCCACTGTCCCTGCCGTGCTGAGGATATGCGTCCAGGTCCACCCTTACCTCTTCCAGCAGTGAGTCTCAGAAACCCAAACTGAGGGGAACCCTGTCCCCACACAGACCTTCCTATTGCCAGCAGAAAGTGCCCAGTCCTTCTGTCATGGCCTCCCTGGGGCTTCTCTTGGAAAACTACAGATGTAAAATGTACTCCTATGTTTACTTAGGCTGGAGCAATCGACTGGTTGATTTTTAAGTTTCTTTTCAGGGCCTCACTATGATGCACAGACTGCTCTCTAATCTCTGAGTTTAGTGATCCTCCTTCCACCTCAGTCTTCCATGTACTGGGATGATGGGCATGAGTCACTCTGCTCAGATCTTGATATATTTTCTGTTTCCTTTTCTTTTAAGACATGGTCAGGCTATGTATCCCAATTTAGTTAGGAATTCCCCATGAACCCGGCTAGCCTCAAACTTGCAAACCACCTGTTTCAGATTTTCAAGTGCTAGGATTGCACGCATGCCATTATAGCCAGTGCTCTTGACAGATATTTAATTAGCGCAATACCAATCTACCTACCACTTTTTCAGAGCTTGTCAATATATCCATTACATTCTATCAGAATTTACCTGCTTTTGGTCGCTTTTATTCTCTCTCATTTTCAAAAAGCAATGTAATTTATTCCTCAGTTGTCCTAAACTTCAGCTGAACTGACCAAGAAAGGAGGGAAGAAGGGATAAGGGAGGAAATATGGGGAAGGACAGCTAAAGCTAAGGGCCATTTGCATAATCACGGTAACATAAAAACCTACTACAGCAGAAACTTCTAAAAACATACATGTGTGAAAGAAATATAAATTGCAGTCACCAAATAAAGGAGGAAACAAAGCCCTAACCAGACATCTCTTGTCACCAAATTAAACTTCCAGTGCCAGGAATGGGTTATATCTAATTGAGCTGTTGGCCAAAGGGACCTCATGAAAACCCCCAGACAATCCAGGCTATTGGTTGCTCTCCATAAACTGACAGCAAGACCCTACTGCTAAAGACAACAGTTACATAACTCACTAAACATGGAAAAGTCAAGCTGATACCCACCTAGAGCCTTTTAATGTTCACGGTATTGGAAGGTACTCTGCACACTACCAGAGGAGAAATGTAAACATCAACCCAGCTACACACCTTGTGGTCTATAATGGTGACCTGCCTGAAAGATTCACTGGTGCAATAGTGGCACAAAAGTTGTAGGAGTAACCAACCACTATATGACTGGAATTGAGACTCACTCTGTGAAAGGGAACCCATCCCTGACACTGCCCAAGGGGCCAAGAACCTGAAACTAGATAGGCCAGATATTAGGGAAAAGCCAAATACTACTGTTCTGCTAAAGGAATGTAGCAATTAAAAATTCTAAAGACATTCTGCTACATCCACAGATCAGTGTATTGCTCAGCCCTAATCAGAGAAGCTTCCTTCTGCAGTATATAGCAACAAATACAGAGACTCATGATTGGACAATGTGTAAAGAGTAAGAGAGTTTGGAACACTCAGTCCTAAATGGATGTCTCCATCAAATCCCTCCCTCAGGGCTCAGAGAAGCCTGGGGAAGCAAAGGCAGCCAAGTTGGAAGAGCCAGTGGGGATGGTGGACACCAAGGAAACCAGGCCTTTAGGGCACAACACGACTGAAACACATATGAACTACAGAGACAGTGGCAGCAGGCACAAGACCTACTCAGGTCTAAGCCAGATAAGGTCCAGCGCTAAAAGGGGAAGTAGACACAAGGCCCCATCCCTAAGCCAGAATCTATCTCCAGCTGATAACCACTCACAATGGGAAAATGTTTTCTCCAGCAGAGTTGTACTGAGCACACAAGCCACACTTAAGATTAGCCCCAAGCCCAGCAGTAGACAGCCAACACCAAGCAAGCTCAATGGTATTTTCCAAGTTTTCATCTCACAATGTTTTGTCTAGACTTTTTTTTAAATCTTTTTAAAAACAGATCTTTTGCCTATACATTATGCCTTATGGATTTTCTGTATGTGAGAATGTGTCTCACCATCTGTTCATTTCTTGTGCTTTTTCCATTTGTTTGTTTTGTCCTATTCTGGTTTGTTTCTATCTTACTGTTTATTATTATTACTATTATCATTATTATTATTATTATTATTGCCTTTTGTATTCTAATGAGAGAGAAAAAAGAAAGAGTGTGGATTTGGGTGAATCCAGAAATTTGTCAAATTTGGGAGGAGCTGGGGGAGGGAAAATTGTAATCAGAATAGATTTCATGAAAAAAATCTATTTTCAATAAAAAAGTAAAAACCCCAAGGCCCTGGCATATACACATATACATAATATATATTTATAAAATTCAAAGAACAAAATATAGACTAAACAAATTGGGATCAAGAGAGAACTCTTCCAAATGAAATCTTCTATAAATACTGCTACTTTGAAATAAAGGAATAAAGGCAGAGAATTATTTCAAAGCAATGGGCCAGCAAGATGGCTCAGCCAGTAAAGGTACTTGCTACCAAGTCTGAAAACCTAAATTCTATTCCTGGATCTTACATGGTGAAAAGAAAGAACCAAGTTGTCCTCTGAACGCCACATGAGCAAATAGCATATATGCTTGTGTGTGCACATACACACCAATAAATAAATATAAATAAACAAATGCTTTAAACAGTTTTTAAACAAAGTAGTATGGGTGGCAATTCACGTCAGCAGGGTTCTTTCACGTGCGTGTGGAAAGGCTGCCTGGGGTCTGGTGTGACTCAGGTGCAGAGAGCTGCAGGGCCTGACAAGAACAAAGACCCCATGACTTAAGTCTCATATGTTCTGTCCTCTGAGAAAGTAGGAGTAAGTGGTAGACCACTCAAACATATGCTGAATCTGCATGACACTCCTAGAAAATGGTTCTTCCTGAACGATAATGCTGGGAGACTATTCCACTACTCTCCATCCACTGTGCTTTCTGAGGCTAAATATAAGACAACTGCACTGGAGAGAGTTTCACAGTACTGCCTAAGTGAGCACTAGTAGAGAAGCTGATGGAAAGTGGAATGGGATAACCACCACGGGTCAGTATGGAACAACAGTAGCAAGGTCCAGGGTGCGGGTGTTGGCAGCAAAGTGGCTGGGCACCTGAGAAGGGCATATAGGAGTTCTGGGCACCTGAGAAGGGCATATAGGAGTTCTGGGCATCTGAGAAGGGCATATAGGAGTTCTGGGCACCTGAGAAGGGCATATAGGAGTTCTGGGCACCTGAGAAGGGCATATAGGAGTTCTGGGCATCTGAGAAGGGCATATAGGAGTTCTGGGCACCTGAGAAGGGCATATAGGAGTTCTGGGCATCTGAGAAGGGCATATAGGAGTTCTGGGCACCTGAGAAGGGCATATAGGAGTTCTGGGCACCTGAGAAGGGCATATAGGAGTTCTGGGCACCTGAGAAGGGCATATAGGAGTTCTGGGCACCTGAGAAGGGCATATAGGAGTTCTGGGCACCTGAGAAGGGCATATAGGAGTTCTGGGCACCTGAGAAGGGCATATAGGAGTTCTGGGCACCTGAGAAGGGCATATAGGAGTTCTGGGCACCTGAGAAGGGCATATAGGAGTTCTGGGCATCTGAGAAGGGCATATAGGAGTTCTGGGCATCTGAGAAGGGCATATAGGAGTTCTGGGCATCTGAGAAGGGCATATAGGAGTTCTGGGCATCTGAGAAGGGCATATAGGAGTTCTGGGCATCTGAGAAGGGCATATAGGAGTTCTGGGCATCTGAGAAGGGCATATAGGAGTTCTGGGCATCTGAGAAGGGCATATAGGAGTTCTGGGCACCTGAGAAGGGCATATAGGAGTTCTGGGCACCTGAGAAGGGCATATAGGAGTTCTGGGCACCTGAGAAGGGCATATAGGAGTTCTGGGCATCTGAGAAGGGCATATAGGAGTTCTGGGCATCTGAGAAGGGCATATAGGAGTTCTGGGCATCTGAGAAGGGCATATAGGAGTTCTGGGCATCTGAGAAGGGCATATAGGAGTTCTGGGCACCTGAGAAGGGCATATAGGAGTTCTGGGCACCTGAGAAGGGCATATAGGAGTTCTGGGCACCTGAGAAGGGCATATAGGAGTTCTGGGCATCTGAGAAGGGCATATAGGAGTTCTGGGCACCTGAGAAGGGCATATAGGAGTTCTGGGCACCTGAGAAGGGCATATAGGAGTTCTGGGCACCTGAGAAGGGCATATAGGAGTTCTGGGCACCTGAGAAGGGCATATAGGAGTTCTGGGCATCTGAGAAGGGCATATAGGAGTTCTGGGCATCTTTTTATTTGGCTTCTAACTAAAACTACCTTTTGTGGAAGGACGCTTAAAAGAAATCCCACACTAGCTCAGAAGTGAGAAATAGATGGATATTTATTTAGGGGTAAACTCACAAATCAGAATCCTCTGCTTGAATGGAGACCAGAAACTAAATCCAGCAAGCAGAAAGAGCGGCCGGAAAAGAGGCCGGACACAAGCTCTACATCAGCATATATAGTATAAGAGGCCACGCCCCAGTGGGTGGGAAACCACTGGCTGTAAGACTTCCCACAGCAGTCTTTTTTTTTTTTTTTTTTTTTTTTTTTTTTTTTTTTTTTTTAGTTTTTCGAGACAGGGTTTCTCTGTAGCTTTAGAGCCTGTCCTGGCATTAGCTCTTGTAGACCAGGCTGGCCTCGAACTCACAGAGATCCGCCTGCCTCTGCCTCCCGAGTGCTGGGATTAAAGGCGTGCGCCACCACCGCCCAGCAGCAGCAGTCTTTAAAAAGTACTTTTGACTATATAATATATAAATGTAGTATTGAATTTAAACTTAAAACTGTGATTTAAGAAAGACCAGACAGAGTGCAGAGAATAAGTGTCTGTGGCATGTTCACTCATAAATGGGCATCCTTATGACACAGAGGATTTTATTCAAATTTGACCAACTCAGCTGTCTTAGCTAGAGTTTTATTGCTGTGAAGAGACACCATGACTACAGCAACTCTTATACATTTAATTGGGGCTGGTTTACAGTTTCAGAGGTTCCGCTCATTGTCATCATGATGGGACACATGGCAGTGTACAGGCAGACATGGTGCTGGGGAAGGAGCTGAGGGTTCTATATCTTGACCCACAACAACAACAAGTGAACTCTGTGTCATACTAGCCTTAGCTTGAACATACGATCTCAAAGCCTGCCTCCACAGTGACACACTTCCTCCAACAGGGCCACGTCTAATCCAACAAAGCCATACCTTCTAATAGCACCAATCCTTCTGGGCCAGGCACTGAAACACATGAGACTGTGGGGGCCACGCCTACTCAAACCACCACACACACACACACAGATAGACCAGAGATGAGGGTGATGGGCCTTGTACTCACCTGTCTGGAGAGATGGACTGTTGAGCCACAGGACCCAAGTCATTCTCAAGAAGGTCCCAGATATAGATCCTGGATGCATCATCCTGGACCAGGAACACAGCAGGCCTGGTCGGGGACCACTGCAGGCTAGTGACAGAGCGGCCACTGGTGCTGCTGTCCCACTGCATGAAAGGCCTCTCGGACGTCAGCTGGTGCAATCTGATGCTTCCATCTGAGCAGCCAGCCTGCAATTGTGGTACAGAAACCCTATTGTTCTTTCTTTTTAAATTAAATCTCAATAGTCAGGACATTTTCTCAGAGTGTTATAACGCTTGCCCTGTTTGTAAAATATCATTTTGGCTTGCTTTTGTTTTCTGAATAAAAAGACATGAAACCTATCCTACAAAAAACCCTCACCCTAGAAGCTGACACCAGCCCAGGATGCTGGGGCGAGCTCCACAGAAAGAATGTCACCTTTAAGCAGCTCTAGTTATACTGACAGTATGGCTATGTGTTCCCTTTGGATTGAAATTTTCATAAAACAAAACTCGGCTGGTTTAATGAAAGAACAAATTATTAGCCTATAAAGAGAGGATTATTTCTTCCTTACTCTTTAATCCTTTCTCATACTCAAAAAAGATATACTTGCATAAAATTAAAAAAAATTGTGTGTGTATTCAAATCAAATGTCAACAAGAGAAATCAAATCCTAAAATAAAATAATATAGAAACACATTTAAACCCTAATTTCAGATAAGTAACACAATCATATGGGATACAGGGGCAAGAACTAAGCCAAATAATCTCTGAACACCATGTCTGAGTGTGCAACTTCTGACTCGAATACACAAAGTCTTGAGTACTGAAAACTGACTTCTCTTCAAGAGGTCTTAAAGGCTCTGTATATTCTGGGATTGCACGTTTAGCCAGGCAGATGGTAAACCATTGCTACAGTCTGAATGAAGTTTGTCCCCACTGACTCCTGAGCTAGAGACTTAAGTCCTCAGAGTAACAGTGTTGAGAGGCAGTGTGACATTTAAGAACAGAATACAGTGTGAGGTAATGAGGTGAGAGGTCCGAGGCTCTCATAAGTGACAGATGACTGTTCTGGAGGAGAAGGTTAACGCTCAGGACTGGATTACTTACCATGACCATAGGTATCTTCCTGTTAAATTCTAAGTACTTTGCAACTGAACAAAGTATTTCTTAAGAGAGTTAAATTTCTGAGCTAACTTGATTTAGTTTTCTGTTAATAATATCCCATGTCTCCTATTTAGATCACTGGAGCCCAACAAATGATAAAAATTTGTAGATTACTAAGAGACCAACACTTCTAAATTATTCTGCTAGATTACACTATTATGAGGGTCCAATAGGCACCTAATATCAATGAAAAGTGACCTTCTTACCAAGAATACGGTTTCTTCAAATGGTGAAAAATCGATCACATTAACTTTTATTGGTCTGATACCATGTTGCTGAGGTCTGAACACCTTGGGAGACACTCTCCAATCTTGTCTGGTACTGTGGCTTATAAGTCCCTAATTATTAAATAAAGAATACCAAGAATGGCCAAAGAAAAGTATTAGGCGTAAGACTGGACAAAACTATATTCATGAAATAATTCAGACATTATAAAAAGGCAAATAGTAAGTTAAACTGCTATAAAGATATCTATGAGGTAAGGCTAAGTGGAAAGGATGAAACGTAAAACACTACTAACCATGTCGGTGCCGACAACAAAGTGATTAGGATCCGAAGGCAGAAATTTGACACTTAGTGTTTGTGTGGACCCCCAGAATTCACTATCTTTATGGGAAAGACTGTAAAATAAACAGCAGAGATGAACACATGGCTTTTGCAAAACCTGGGTGATGGCAATACCTTACACTCACTTAGCACTGCCACACATCATCCAGGGAGGAACAGCTTTATCACACTTCTTCCATGATTCCAGCTACGATGCTTCCTATTTCTCTTTCAAGTATTGCACGCTTGATCATTTCTGCAGACCCATCACTGTTTCCTGATTCTTTTATCAACTATGTTGAATCTATTATTGAATCACTCACTGGTTGAAATTTGGAAATGACAGCACTGCTTTGAAAAGTGTATTGTACAACTGCAGCAGGTCTGATGCCGAGAGACGGTGATTAGTAGTTGACTGATGAATCTCACTTGATGACAGCTCTAGTGTGCTTCCTCGTGCTTCTGGTTCCTATAAAGTTTGTGAACTCATCTTTTGCAGAAGGCTTGTGGAAATCCCATAACTCCCAGCTTCCTATCAGGCAGCTGTTCTTGCATCTTTACCTCAAGGTTCCAGGGACTCTGATACTTGCAAGTTCCCATACACATCTAGCTTGATCTTCCAAGTAACCATTTTCCCTTAACTGGGAGTGAAACTTTATTTTCCTCACACTCAAGGGGCAGTGAATTCCAGAATACTGTGCAAGGGTCTCAATTCTAACTCAGGCAAGCCCCGTGTGTCTATGATTGCACAAGGTTTGAGCCACAGGCTTATAGGAAAGGCCTGAGAACCTGGCCTACTGGTTGTCAGCATTAGTTCAAAACCTTATTATCTAACTTAACTTCCCTTTTTGTTCCTAGCAGTAAGAGATTTTTCTTTTCTTAAAAAAAAAAAACAAAGCAAAACAAAAAACAGCTATATTTGGAGCTGCAGAAATGGCTCAGCAATTAAGAGCATTTGCTGCTCTTACTTAAAGAACTGGATTCTGTTCCCAAAACTCATACAGCAGCTCACAACTGTCAGAAACTCTAGCTCCAGAAGATCTGATGCTCTCTTCTCGCCTCTGATGGCCCAGACAGACATGTGGTGCACATGTATCTAGGCAGGCAAGACACTTACACACATGACATACAAACATCTCCCCCAGCTGCACTACCCAGTAGTCAAACCAGCTGAGGCTCCTCCCTCTCACTGTTTCCATCATCAACTGATTTCCAATCCTATTCTTGAACTCACATCCAGTTCTCCACAGCTATGCTGGTTTTCATACAGGTCACTATATTGGCCTCCTAACTGGTCTCCTTGACTCCAGTTTCTCCAACCTCAAACTCAAATTTTTCCAAGTTGATTATCCTACATCTCAAAAATGACATTCCACTTCTTTAGAATAAGACCCTGTCACCTCCAAGACACTGTCTAGACTGCCAGCACAGCAACAGGCATGTCAAGGTCAGCCATCAGCCCACACCATCTTTCTCAACTGCAGATTTGCTGGTATGTCTACACACAGGTACCTTTGCCTTAGAGCCATGACATGCTCCTTTGCCAAGCTTTTGAGGATCAATCCAATATCAAGTCCTAGTCAGTGTTCTATTACTGTCAGGAGAAACCATGACCGAGGTAACTCTTACAAAAGTGGGGGCTTGCTGACAGTTTAAAAGGGTAGTGCTTGGTCACGGCAGGAAGCAGGCAGGCATGATACTGGAGCTGGAGTTGAGATCTTTACATCCTGATCCACGGAGAGCAGGCAGAGGTAATCTCAGAGCCCATCCCCAGTGACACACTTGCTCCAACAAGGCCACACCTTCTAATCCTTCTTAAACAGTTCTCCTCATTGGTGTATAAGCATTCAAGTATATGAGCCTATATGACCATTCTCACTCAAAGAACCACATAACACTTTCCCCAAAAGCTCCCATCTGTCTGGACACAACCCTTCCCTCCTTCAAGCTCCTACATGCCTATGTTCATACTAACACATCATACTCTTATAACTCTTATAACCACGCCAACAAGGATATTCTGCTTCACCGGCATGTTTGCTGGGATCACTGAAGGCAAGATGGCTGCTACACTGAGGGTGACATATTTCCAGGACATCCACAGTCCACAGGTGGCAGAAAAGGGACAAGGACCTGGTGCATCAGTCCAGCCAGACACCCCAGTTTACCCAAGGTAGGGAAGGCTACAGAGTTAGGGCTCTCCGTATAATATAGTCTGCCTGTACCCCTCCTTTCCTACAGATTCTTGCAAAAATACAGGTATGAACATATGGCATCAAATACATTAACTACTTCCCTTTGGAGAGTATATAGCTAAGTCCTGTAAGAGTATACAGCTAAATCCTGGAGGAAATTACAGTTAAAAATAAATATAATGCACGGCGTGAGGTGCGAGCATCTCGTGCAAAGGTACACAGCTCGGCAGCGGTAAGCAGCTCGGCAGAGGTACGCAGCTTGGCAGCGGCAGCGGTAAGCAGCACGGGAAGGAGGCATAGCCTGAAGAGCATGCGCATGCCTGGCCCTGCAACATAATCTGACGATTTGAACTATCTCCTTTCATAATTATATTCCAGACAAGTAAGTTGATTTGAATGACTGTATTCACTGTGTTCTGTGTGAGAAAGAGGACACAGACTCAAAGATGTTTCACAGGTAATTCACATACTAACAGCCTCACTGAGTAAATGGCAGAAATATATGTCTTTGGAAACCAATAAGGAACATGGAACACTAATACTGAACATTCATTAAGAATCTGTACTTCATAGTAAGTTCTATGAGTAAAAAGCAGAAATACTGCTTTTTTTTTCTTTTTGTATTTTTTTTAATGTTTGCTGTTTTGTGGTGTTTTTGTTTGTTTATTTAACTATTTGAGACAGGTTCTCATATATCCCAGATGGTTGCAAACTCACTGTATTGTCAAGGATAGCCTTGATCTCTTTGTTTTTTGTTGTTTTGTTTTCAACTTCTTTTATTTTTTTAAACAATCTTTTCTCATTTTACATACCTATCCAGTTCCCACTCCCTCCACTCCTCCCACTCCCTCCACCTTCCCCTCACTCCACCCCCACCCACTCCTCAGAGAGGGTAAGGCTTCCCATGGGGAGTCAACAAAGTCTAGCACATTGCTTTGAGGCAGGACCAAGACCCTCCCCCCATATCTAGGCTGAGCAAGGTATCCCTCCAAAAAGAAAGGGCTTCAAAAAGCCAGTTAGCCTTGAACTCTTAATCTTCCTGCTTCTATCTACCAAATAGAATTTGCTAGGATTATAGGTGTATGCAATGCCTAGCTAAAAATGTAAATTTATAAATAAAACTTATTTCAGTGTTTTCAGTTCCTAAAACTTGACTTGATCAAGTTTAACTAACTTTAAGTCTAAATTAAAATTAGACGAAAGACAGTCATATTTGACTAAATTTATAAGCTAAGAACATTTTACTAATATCTATTAGCCCTATATCTGAAAAATATATTTGTTACATTAACTGATATAATTCATATAGCAAAAACTGAATAAGTCCTCATTGCAAAACAGAACATGCATTTAACAGGAAGCAGAGTCCTTGTGGGATGAGGGCCTTGCTTAATCCCAGGGGATGTCTTACCTGTTGCCCAAATGGATCGCAGTACTGTGCACCAATTTGACCCTCCCTCCAGGTATCAAACCTAGAATCAGACAAACCACAAACACACACACCTCTTAATGCAAGTTAACCCCAATTCTACCTACAGTTGTCTGGATTCACTCTTCCTTATTTAAGTATCATAACCAGAAAGAATGCCAAAATATAAATACAGGAAGGACTCCCTCTAAATCTGGTGGAGGTGTCTGTGCCTTGCTGAAGAGGAGAGTCTGGAATTTATAGGTCATTATCAGAATCCCATGGGGCCATGATCCAGATGTGCACACATTTTCAGACTGGTAAGAACAATTGGCATCACATGTATTGACTACTTAGTTCCAAATGCCAAACCCTGTGCTGTAAATATCCAAGGCAATTGTCATTCAAAGCCAATCAGAAACCCACCAAGTTTCCAGTTTGGTGAATGGCTACCAGTATTTTGAGCTCCTCCAGGCTCAGTTTCTGTTGATCAGAAACTCTAACTTCCACTCAAACACCATGGAACTACAGCTCCCAGGATACCTGGCTTTGTTTTCCATTCCTTCCTTTGTTCTCCTCAAATATGGACCCTTCAGTTGTCTCTGCCAAATGTCTGTCTTAAAGCTATTCTACCTTTTGTACATTACTGCAGAGGAAAGAATTAGAGATTTAATATAATGAAACCCAAATTATAGGCAAGATGCTATCCAGAACCTGGAGTGCAGCTGAATTAAAAGCATGTAGAAATATATTCACCTCACTGCTAGGAAGGGCAACTGCAAGTGCACTGCATGACTTGTCTCTTACATTCACTGTACAACAATATGGATGGCATCCCAGTGGTGGCAGATCTACAGATCAGGCCTGCTGCCACTGGTCTCAACCACAATCACAGGAAACTGATTTGAATGGCTCTTCAACAAGAAGTGATCAGCACTTGTTTGGTGAAGAGCCTGCTTCTGAATCTGAGAACCTGAACCTGAAACAAGGCCAGTGTCAATCCTGGATTTTTTTTTCCTATTTTTTTTCCAAATCTATCAGGGGATACACCCTTGAAACAAATAAGATGAAACAAGCTGTCGTTAGAAAATTAACAGCTGCCGGGCAGTGGTGGTTCACGCCTTTAATCCCAGCACTCGGGAGGCAAAGGCAGGCAGATCTCTGTGAGTTTGAGGCCAGCCTGGTCTACAAGAGCTAGTTCCAGGACAGGCTCCAAAACCACAGAGAAACCCTGTCTCGAAAAAGAAAAAAAAAAAAAAAGAAAGAAAATTAACAGCTGTAATTCAGGATAAGAAAGCTGAGCTTAAGATGCAGACAAAATAGCCCCAAGATCCATCAGAACTGAATTGTCTGGGGCCTCTTAGTACTGGAAGCCATGCCAAGTGGCATGGACAACAGCACACCTTGGGGATCCTGAACTGTTTCCCCATCTTTCCTGCTCCACTTGGGACACTTTAGCATGCTGTGTCATCACCCACTCCAAGTGGCACGAGGCGAGCCACACTTCGTGAACTCATGTACACTGGGTAAATACAAATCCACAGAAGAAAGCCCCAACTGAAGAAGGACTTAGGACATGGGCACCTGAAGAATACTGGGAAAGAAGACAGTTGCCTTAAGTTATGACACAAAGCAGAATGAATGCCAACCATGACAGAACTTACGACATCCACATTAGACGTCACTCAACCACTTTAGCTAGTGAGATGGCCATACAACTCTGATGTTCATTTTCAGGTTGCTAACGACTTATTTTTCAAAGCATGTTGCGCTATCTTTAATCTCTAATCATTTTAGCAAACAATAATTAATTAATTTTTACTTCAATAGTTACCTAAATCACTCATTGAACCAGAGATATCTGCCTTTGGTAATTCAACAACCACCTAAAAACAGAATATTGAAAAAATGGATACTGATACATTTTAAAACTAAGAAACAATCAAAGCATAGCTCTAATAAAATAACATTGCTTTATTAGAGCCTAAAATATAATTGTTTCATAAAAAGACTACTCATTTACTTTAGAACTAATGACTTAAATTTATTCATTCTTTTATCTCACTATTCTCCTCTCTGAGTAACCTCATTAGTAGCTCACTATAAAAGTCCTAACATATCCTTTAGAAGTGAGGCCTTCTTATGGTCTTCCTTATGCATTTCCAGAGGCCAAGGCCAGGCATACAACTCCACACCCCTTCACAGAACAAAGGGTCTTACTGTCTTGTTCTGTTCTATCCCTGACCCATTCCCCAAGCCAGGTGCCAGTCTCCTCCCAGTTCCACTCAGCAGTATGCACAGCCTCGCACCTCCCACTTACCCACACATTGAGAATACCACTCTCGTCCAGGGAAGCGATGTGAAATGACAAGCCTGCCATTTCTAATGAAAGCAGAAACAAAAATGGAGGAAAGTAGTTTTAAGTAAATATAACGCTTTGCATAACTACTGCTTGAAAGATTTTATAGGTGCAAGAGCTCTTGTACCTTCTTGAGTAGAAAAGGGTGAAAGCACCAAGCTCTGTTTCTTGTAAGCAGATGTAACAACCGGCTCTATGGCTTGAAGAGGACTTTGGTGGTTCACTGATGTGAGGACTCCATCTAGAAATTAAAGGCCCGTAGTACCCACTGTAAGTCATATATTTTAGCAATAAAATTAGCATTATATGTTAAGAAATATGTGAATGCTTCTGCGTCTAAAGATCTGAATCTCTCCATATACCTCTCACCCAAAGCCACAAGACTAACAAGTCACACATCAAGACTCAGGACCATGAGTTTTCAGCATCTCTAGCAGAGACTACAACCTCAATATGCTTATAAGAGGAAAAACAAGAAACGAACACCAAAGCTTGTACCATTACATAACTGTTCCATCACTGAGGCAATATATATACAGGGCTAGGAAGGAGATCAACATACTCTAAGACCAAGAGTATTGTTAAGCAGGTACTCCAGAAAAAGAAGACATGATTCTAAGGCCAGAATCCTCCAGGATTTCCAGGCTGGGGAAAGAGGGCCATTCAACAGGGCCTTAGAGAAGTGCTGTTTATGGGCAACTTATAAGGAAAGAGAATAGCATGGACTGAGAACAGAGCAGTGCAAGTCAGAGCAGGGGACTTAAACAGGTACACAGTCACTACCAGGAAAAGTACTGCCACCCACAAATGAATAAAACATCTGGGAGTCAGAAATTCAAATTCCATATGCAGGTACCTCAGGAAGAAATTAAAACAAAGACATCAAAGAATCATCCAGTGTGACTATTCTCCTGCCCCACCCCATCCCTGAAGAAAGCACAAAGCATAAGGCAACCAGTCTGAGATGAATGAGATCTCTGCAGACCACTATGGTAAATGCACTTAAAACAACAAATCACATCCAACATCAAAACCCCACATAAAAACAGAAAAAAAAGGAGAGGGCCAGTGGGATTGAACTTAAGAAAAAGCTAGTGAATAACAAAATGAAGACACATTGCAGACCTCCCAGGGGGAAATCACACGGATGTGAATGATCTCCTCTAGAAGCTCCAGCTTCACACTCCTGACTTCCGCTGATGATACTGAGATGGCAAAGGAAACAAAGGGAGCATTTCATAGAGCGCTGTATTCGCATCCCGTCATCCCTCTTACTCATCTGTGCAGTCGACAACCATGGCTGGAAATACATGAAAGAATGATTGTCCTGCACTGAACATGTGCGGACTTTTCTTGCCATTGTTTCCTCAACATTGGGCACAACAGCTACTCACACATCGTAGACACAGCCCTCTAGAGATAACATCAAATACAAAGAGAATGTGCCTGTTACAGCAAATGCTGTATCGTCTTATATAAGGAGGCATCTGAAGGGAGGAGGCTTAGGAATATAGTGCCTTGAAAACAACGCTGAATTACACTCACTATATTAGCAGTTAGAAAACACTAAGTTTTGAAGGGATCTTTTGGATTGTATGATAGTTTTAGTTGTCAGCTTACCACAATCTAGAATCACCTGTGAGTCTCAATGAGGACCATCTACAAGCTGGCCTGTGGGTATCCCTGTGAGTAGGCACCACCTCCTGGGCCGAGCACTAAACTTAGAAAAGGAGAGAGATTAAGCTGAGCTGTGGCACTTGGCATTCATTGCTCCCTGCTTCTGGCTGGGATGCAATGTGAGCAGTTCCTACCACTGCAACTTCCTTGCCGTAATGGACTAAACCCTGGATTGTGAGCCAACTAAATACTTTCTCCTTTAAGGTGCTTTTATTGGGGTAGTTTATTAGAGAATCAGGAAAGAAAACTTAGAGCTTGAGTCATATAATAAATTTTATGTTCTTTTCTGTTTGAAAAAAAGATACTTTTTTAATAGCATCAAAATCCATATGGTATCTATCACTGTAAACAGTCTCCACAGCAACCGCATCTCCCCAAAAGGGCAAAAAATGGTTAGTAGAGATGTAAAAAATGACTTGTGCTTTTTATGTGTAAAGCGTAGATATAAATACAGTACAGAGAGAGGAAACATTATCTGTGATGTTAAGAGTGTTTGGAGAGGGATAAAAATAAACCAATTTAAAAGCCTTACTTAGTTAAAAGAATGAAAAGAATCACAGGAGAAAATATTTGCCAAACCCTTACCTCACAAAAGTCTTTTATCAAAACATATAAAACTCAACTACCAGAAAACAAGCAATTTTAAAACAGGTCAAAGACCTTAATGGGTACTTTACCAAAAAAGAAACACAGATAGCATATGAGCATAGGAAAAGACAAAATTGTTCCAATTGTCACAAGAGAAATGCAAGTCACACATGAGGAACCACTGAAACCAAGCAGAATGACCCAAACGGACGGCAGTGGCTGGTGAAGGCACAGAGCAGCAGGTCTCAGTGCCTGTGGGAATGCAGATGGCAGAGCCACTCTGAAAGACAGTTGACAATTTTTAACTGAGTAATCCAGGAATCAAATTCTTCAAACTGCTTTCTCTCATACATGCAACCTGCAATCCTATCCCATGGAATGGCACCACCTACTGTTAAGTCTTCTCATCTCAACCAACTAGATAATCTCTCACAGACATACCCAGAGGCTAACTTAATCTAGATAACCCAACACTTAATATGAGGATTATCTCCTAAGTAATTCTAGATTCTGAAAATTGAAGATATTTAGCCAGATACTTGGTATTTACCCAGAGGAGGGGAAACCTGTACACAGCAGTTGTGAAACAGCTGTAAAGTTATTCGTATATAGTTTACTCCTACCCAATCCAAAAATGTTTACTTTATTCCAGAGAGAGAACTTTCTAGAAGAGGAACAAACTACAGAGACAACGAAAAGTTCCGTGATGGCCGGAGCAGGAGGGATGCACAACAGAGAGGCCCTCGCTGGAGACATCAAACTGATAGGAGCCACATGTGCAACAGAAGCTTTGAATGCAGCCAAGACGGCCATCAAGAATGAGAAGTTCAATGGGGCATTCATATACAAAAATATTAATAAAAATAAACCTGGACACTAGTACTTCTCATCATGTAGACCAGACCTAAATGTAAAACCTAAAATTACAAAAGTTCAGGAAAATATGCCTGACAACCCACCCTCTGTGAATTTTAATTGAGTAACAATGACATCGAGAGCATATCATGAGAAATTTTAATTGAGTAACATGACATCGAGAGCATATCATGAGAAATAAGTCAAACTCCACCAAATTTAACTTTTCCTCTCTTTGGCAAATAATTTTACAAGAAGGAATATGGGATATAATAAAATACATGTAAAACACATCTAGACTATGTAAAGCTTCAAAACTTAATAGGATGTATAGCTCAGTCTATAAAGTGCTGGCCAAACACATGCAAAGTCCTGGGCCCAATCTCCAGCATAACAGCAACAACATAAAGTAAATTCAGTCAGGCACGAATTATGCCTGCAATCTCAGCACTCGAGAGGCTGAGGTAAGAGGATTTTTGAAAGCTTAAGACAGCCAGGACTCCAAAACAAGACCTTCTCTCCAAAAACACAAATAAACTTAGAAAAACAATTCAATAAAAAAATGAGCAAAGATTTGAACAGGCATAATCAACAAGAATATTTATATGATAAATAAATACATGAAGATAAACTTAGGATCATTAGTTATTCAAGTGAAAGTCGAAAACCAAAATTAAAACTGCATGCTTACTAAATATCTAGCTAAACACCACTGCCTGATAGGACCACTGCTGAGAAGCACAGAGCGACAGTCGGCACACTGCAGAAGAGCACCCAGGAGCTGTCAGCAGCGAAGAACACCAAATGGCATGTATGAGAAGCATCCTCCAGAAGTTGGACAAAGCAAACTGGTGACAGGATAATGACAGAAAACAGACTAGTGGCCTGAGGGGAAAGAGAGAACACCAAGAGCTTGAGTGGTGTTGTGTGCTCCTGAGACTCAACAGGAAAGGGACAAGATTGGTAAAGAGTGAGCAAGAGAAGGTCTCCTGCTCTCTCAGACAGTGGACGTCAGCTCCTACAAGAAGAGTCAATCAGCAGTCTATAGGTCAGATGGCTGAGTACAGAGCCCGCCTGTGCAGTCAGTGTGGTACAGATGAAGATCTTACCCTTCTGAGCAACAGGGATGGATGGAGGGCTAGTACAAGAATGTACATAAAACACTTAGAAGTCCTGCAGGTGGGAAATGCTCGCTCTTCGTGTTGGTATGTATCCATGTGTGTACATATGTGAGTGGGTACACGCGGAGGCATGTAAATGTGGAGACCAGAGGCTAGCATCAGGTGTCTTCCTTGATAATTCTCCATGCTCCTTTTATTTTGAGACAAGGTTTCTCACTGGGCCTAGAGCAGTGTTTCCACCTTCCTAATGCTGACACCCTTTAATACAGTTCCTCATGTTGCAGTGACCCACAACCATAAAATTATTTTCCTTGCTACTTCATAACTGTAATTTTGCTACTGTTATAAACTGCAGTGTGAATATCTGATATGCAGGATATCTGTTACAACCCTGTGAAAGGGTTGTTCAACCCCAAAGGGATTGTGATCTATGGGTTGAGAATCACCAGCCTAGAGCTTGCCAGCTGGTAGGACTAGCGAGACAGTGAGCCCCTCTAACTCCCCAGTGAGATCACAGGTGTGTACCAACACACCCAGTCAGAAGGGGTGTGGGTGCTGGGGATCTGAACTCAGGTTCACATCACACAACAAACACTCACTACCAAGGCATCTTCCTAGCCCCAAGAAATGATTTGTTTTTGTTTTTGTTATAGTGGCTGTGGTCTAAAATGGTATGAATTGTTCATGTAAAAAACCTAAGGCTCTGTCCCCCAAGAGTTCTTCTCACTTCACCACCTCGAGTATTCACTAGTGATGCTACAGTAGTATGCACTCACTACTGTACCGTGGCTAGTAAGGACCTAAGGACATTGATGTTAGGAGGAGGGTGACGCTCAGTACACAGAGCCGACCGAGACCTGGAGTTTGCTCCTTGAAACCATAATCAATTAACTAATCGATCCAAAATTTATCTTGCTGGGAATTTTTTAGAATCCACACATTTAACATAAAAGAGTGCCCCAAACTTTGCTGCCACTCAGTGAGGACTACTTGAATGGATTTGGTTTTCTGTTTACCAGATGCTTCCTCTGTTCAGACTCAGACCTCATCCTCCGGAAATGTGAATGAACAAAGGCAGATCAAGTTAAAACTTTCGTCCTCAAAGCAGACCAGGCTTTTCTAGAAAACAGACAAGACTAACCAGTGGAAAATGTTGGGGTCCGGAAGGCCCAGAGACAATTGCTCAGTCTCACATAATGGTGTATCCTGGAGTCTTCTCTTAAGTCCCAAAGGACCACAGAGCCGTGGACTGTTCCGGCAAACAGCAAAAATGCTTTTAAGGGGCTGAAGCAGCAACATGTGACCTGAAAAGTCAATCACAGGAGGTGAATGGCTGAAAAATATGAGCCACATTCACAGAATTAGCTCACAAAGAATGACATCTGACACAGATAAAGGTCCTCACAGGATGCAATTAAGTAGAACACAGACCTGTGCATATGAAATAAAATTCAATTGCCCAAGTGTGGGTTTTTTCACAAGGACAGTAGGATCTGAAATCCAGTCTGTAGGAATGTGATCACAAAGAAGGCTTCTAGTGTCCATCTGGGTACATAAAATGTGCTTAATAACCCTTTCTATTAGTGCAACTGCCTGGACCTCCAAAGTGGTGAGTCCACTGTCTGACATTTTATTTATGGCTTTTATTCTAAACTTATTCACTTTCAAGACTCTAAAATTGGCACCCAAAAAGGTATTCTTCATATATTTGGAAGAAATTGATGGTTTGGGTGAGTCAAGAAGCATAAAGACATAGTACTTCCCAATCAAAAACAAAGTCAATATGAAAGGGAAGATGGCCAGTGGAGCGTGAATAACAGGACCAGACTCAAGTAGAAGGCAGCAGTCTGTGTAAGTGACAAAGGCCCTTATTGTAAGCAATTTTAAGAAATTGCACAATGCATGGTGGAGCACATCTATAATCCCTGCACTCAAGAGGTCGAGGCAAGAGATCAGGAGTTCAAGGTCATCCTCAGCTGAATAGAGAATTCAAGGCCAGCATGGGTTACTAAAAGCTTCCTGGGGGGTAGGAAAGAAAACAAAACAAAACAAAGACATCGCAAGAATATTAAGATATCTAGAGTATCAGAATCTAAATAGCATGATCCAAATATCCTAGCCTTGTGGTCATCCTGACCATGTTTTTATTAAGCCTATAACTATGTTCTTTTGCTAGTTTACAGATGGCTGAATACTTCCTGCATGACAATCCTGGGTTTCTCAGTCAGAAATGCCTGTTAAACTAGGAATTCCTAGAGTTGGAACAAATGTGTTTTGTCACCTATGTAGAGCCAACAGCACAGAAACGACATGACTTATGCCCCATTCTGCCTGCTATCTCTGTGCCCTCTCCTTGTTATATTACTGCCAGCTACTCCCCTCCCGGAAACAAGCACAGACTCGTTCTGAATATACCTTTGATTCACATATCAGAACCTTCTGGGGCCCTGAAGGCTGCCAAATATCCCACACACAGAGGAGGTGCCGGCTATCCAGAGATGGGGCAAATGCCTTTTCAGGTAAGTCATGAACAGAAACCACAGTCTGCCTCTGAACTCGAGAGGCATGCAAACAGGATACTTTCCGCCCTGGAGATAAGAAAAAACAATTTTCACTTTAGCATTTAAAACTTTTCAGAACACTCTCATAAAATCTAATTCAATGAAAAAGCAAACGTGGTCTGTTCAAAGCTGAACAAAAAATTAAGAGTGTTGTTGCTGAGACAAGTTTCCACACATCCTTTGTCCCCTCACCTCACTATGCAACTGAGGGTGACCTTGGACTTGATGTTCCTGCCCCCACTCCTCGGCTGTGAAAGTATAGCATATACCAACAGCACATTCAGTTTGTGCTAAGGACTGAACTCCAGGCTTTCCGCATGCTAGGAAGCACTGCACCCAATGAATGAGATCCTCAACCCCCAAACCTGGATTTTAATCAACACCTACAGCATAAACCTAAATTCTGTGTCTACATTGACCCTGTGGCTTCAGTAAAGGGAAACCCTTTCTCTGGTGCAGCGATGGCCAGGACAACACACTTCTCATCTACCAGCTCTTCAGCCCAAGTGCATGGGAGCAGAAGTCAGCAGCATGCTAGAAACACCTGGAGTGGCCTTCCTTCCATGGCATGCTGCAAGGACACTACTGTTAGGAACCTCAATTCTCTTTTTAAAAAAGCCCTCTGAACTCCATACAGAAAACTACTCTCATCCAAAACCAGGAGTAGCAGTCCAAGAATGGATTCCAAGACTGTGGCAGAGATGCTCTCACTACAGCTCTCCTTAGCAGGGCTGCTGATAAAATGAAGAAACAGTAGAATGTTAAGCCATATAGTCATGTGAGAATTTTGTAGTACTAGCTAAGTAAAACTACACCTGCTGACCTGATACCTGCTGCCCATGCACACTAGTTCCTGAAGTCACAGCCCATACCATCAAAACTTGGGATCAAATTTGTCTTCCTGGTCTTCCGGCATCTTCTCAGCCACTCAACAGTCATCCCCTCAGAGCTACCTCCTCAAGCAGCCTGAAGTCTTCCCCCAGGAAAGGCATGATAATGTTATATGAGCTCCTTCACCATTCATGAGCAAAGCTCTTCCACCATTATTACTGGGTTTCTACTGTAAGTGTGTGTGTGTGTGTGTGTGTGTGTGTGTGTGTGTGTGTGTGTAAGCATGCATACATGATGGGAGGAGGCAAGCACATGTGTCCACGTCAGAGGACAACTTTATGGAGTTGGTTCTCTCCTCCACTTTATGGAGTTGGTTCTCTCCTCCACTTTATGGAGTTGGTTCTCTCCTCCACTTTATGGAGTTAGTTCTCTCCTCCACTTTTTACGTGGACTGAACTCAGACTGAAAGTCTTGTGTACCACCTGCCTTTACTCACTGATTCATCTCCTAAGGCTACCTTCTAGTTTTTAATGACATCAATAAGGTTTCTTTCCTCTTTATGTTTATTTGTGTGTGAATCAGCATCTTTATTAAACCAATCACAGTGACATACATTCACACACTGTAAAGGAATCTTCCACATTTCCCCTTTTCATCTAATTAAGAAGGAGAGTTTTAACTTTAACGTAATAAAACTATATGTAACAAAACAATTGCCAAATCTAAAGACAATACAATAATATACAGAATCCAGACTTGCATATTTCCCATCTTTATGTGGCTTATTATATTTTTATTACCTTATTCCTTTTTTAAGACTTTATTATTTTTAAACTATTTTTGTTTTTGTGACTATCTATACCATTTCTCTTTTCTCTCCCAAGGCTCTGTACATTTTTAAACACACTGTGACCTATTTAGAGGTTTTTTTCTGTCTGGATCTGTCTTTACTGCATTTCTGTAATCTTTTGTCTGCATGAGCAAAACTTAAAGCTGCCATGCAGTTTAGTTCATGGCATGCTGGCAGGGCTCACTCTGCTGTCAGCTCAAGCTCACAGGCAGCAGCAGAGAGATCCGTCTCTGTTCTGCAGCCAGTATGAGAGACATAAGCCTAGGAAGCTGCATTTGGCCCTGTGTTTGTTTGTTTATAATCCAGAGCACTAAGGCAGAAGGCTCAAGAATTCAAAGCCTGCCTAACAACTGAGATAATGTCTCAAAATAAATGAATGGATGAATGAATGAATGAATGAATGAGCATTCAAATTTAGCCTTGCAAATGCAGTTTGTTTAAATTAATTTAAATACTCTGACATTATATGCTTTATCTGCTTACCATTTCCATAGCTGTGTATGTATTATCTGAGTAACTGCTTGAAAAGAATTGTAATTCTTAAAACAAACACAACCTCATTTTCCATTTACTAAATAATTTCACTAATTTAAATTGCTGTCAGACCTCCTCTACTTAACTTTTGAAAATCATAAATCTAACATACACATTTAAGAAAAGAATTCTCACCATTCATTTGCAATTCTGTAGCCAGAGACTTTCTGTTTTATACACAATAAACCATATCAAATTAAAAACATGTAAAATTAATGATCATTATTTCAATATAAATGTTGGTGTTTGCCTATAAACTGATGTCAGGAAAGGCCTCCTACCCTGAAGGAACGGCAGGTTCGTGTTCAGCTGGGAGGAACTCTCACTGATGTTCAGAGCTTTGTCTTGAGCCCGGGGATTCTGGCTGGGCCCAGCAGCCAAACGGTCCTCTTCAAGCAAAACAGCAACCACCTTTGAAAGACAAGTGAGCAGAGGCTGGAGAGATGGCTCTCTTGTAGGATACCTGGGTTCAATTCCCATCATCTACATGGTACCCACACCACCTGTTACTCCAGTCAGGAACTTTTCTGGCTTCTGCAGGACCACAGGGTACAGATATGGTGCACAGATAGAAAAGCAGCCAAAACACTCATACACATAAAACAAAAAATAAATTTTTAAAAATTTAAAAAGAAAACCCACCTCAAAGACGAACCATCTTTCTTAAAATGCTAACAGCATACTATCTTTTCTTTAAAAAACATCTGCAAATAATTGCTTGGTTTCACTACATCATAACTTTAAAAAATCCTTTTTGCATTATAATAGTATACTAATATAATGTCACAGGATGCCATCTTATATGTTGTTTCCTTTGCTAAATATGATGTTAATATTTCAGAGGGCAAAGGGAGCCTGAGTATCTAACACCCTCAAAGATAAAAGCACCAAGGAGAACCGGGCAGCCAGCACTCACTGCATCCTAAGGAGAAACATGCAGCACTCACTGCATCCTAAGGAGAACCGGGCAGCCAGCACTCACTGCATCCTCAGTAGCACTAAATGATCTAACTGGGTCATCTCTAAAATGCGAGGAGGAAGGCAGCAAATGTGAGGTGAGGACTGACAGGACAGAGATGTGGTGTGCACAAAAGAAGCCAGTGAGATAAAGGCTGGACCTGGATCCCCAACCCTGTCGTTGCCTGTTCTCCTCTCCATCTCATCTCTCTCTTCACTGCACTGTACCCAAGGACTCTCTTCTTACTAGCTCCAAAAACTTTATACTAAAACAGACACTAATAATAGTAACAAATATGTCGAACCTGATCCTTTTTCTAAGTCACAAATCCTTCTACAACTGAGACACTGGAGCAAAGCAAATGGCAGGTAGTCATAACACAATATGATGGACAGGCTTGATCCTAAAGCAACCTGTCAAGGCTTAACACTATTAGGCTGTTTATTTCTGCCCCATATTTAAATTCTAAGTTTATATAAAAAGTTAGCAACAACAAAGAGATTAGAATATCAACTTTTCTTAATATTTTAGAAACTACCAAGTTTGTAGGTCACACCCGTGTTAAAGAACTCTGTGGCTGTGGAGAGCTGGAATAGGACAGGTCCACAGCCAGATTACCTTGGGCTACCTTGTGCCCTCCTGAAAGCCTTTCACTGCCACCTTTATGCCCATCCTCACGTCCTCACAACCTGTCACTCTACTAACTCAAAGACTAAGAGTGCTGTCAGCATCTGAGGCCACAGCACAGACTTCCTCCCTTTGCTGCACACCTCCTACCTGCGGTTCTCACATTGCATCTGAAAAGCGCTTTGATTTAGCATTTTCTTCTGTTCTGCAAAAAAACTTCGTGAAACTGTTTACTGTGTTGAAACATGGTATTTAGGGTAACCTAAATCCATGTGCCCAGGTCAAGGTCACTCATATTTAGTTCTAGAATAAAAGTTCTTTGAAGTGAAAGCTATTTTTTTTGTTTTTTGTTTTAAATTTATTTATTTATTAAGGATTTCTGCCTCCTCCCCACAACCGCTTCCCATTTCCCTCCCCCTCCCCCCGATCAAGTCCCCCTCCCTCATCTGCTCGAAGAGCAATCAGGGTTCCCTGACCTGTGGGAAGCCCAAGGACTGCCCACCTCTATCCAGGTCTCATAAGGTGAGCATCCAAACTGCCTAGGCTCCCACAAAGCCAGTACGTGCAGTAGGATCAAAAACCCACTGCGATTGTTCTTGAATTCTCAGTATTCCTCATTGTCTGCTATGTTCAGCTAGTCCGGATTTATCCCATGCTTTTTCAGACCTAGGCCAGCTGGCCTTGGTGAGTTCCCGATAGAACATCCCCATTCTCTCAGTGTGTGGGTGCACCCCTCGTGGTCCTGAGTTCCTTGCTCGTGCTCCGGCTCCTTCTGCTCCTGATTTGGACCTTGAGATTTCTGTTCGGTGCTCCCATGTGGGTCTCTGTCTCTGTCTCCTTTCATCGCCTGATGAAGGTTAATATTCATGAGGATGCCTATGTGTTTGTCTTTGGATTCACCTTCTTATTTAGCTTCTCTAGGAACATGAATTATAAGCTCAATGTCCTTTATTTATGGCTAGAAACCAAATATGAGTGAGTACATCCCATGTTCCCATCCCATGAAAGCTACTTTTATATTAACAAAAGCTCTTTCTGTTTTAGAGACTTACACTGCAATATATATGGCATAAAATTATGATGATTAGGGTTAGTTTCAAAATAATCAGGTGAATGATGGGAAAGGGGAATGATCTAGAAGAAGGAGCCAAGTGAGGTGATGTCAGCTGCAGCACATGGAGCCTCACAACTACGAACTTTGAAATTTTCCATAGCCAGTTGTTAAAATCTTGAGTGTATTATTTACTAATACTGTATAGATTTACACTTGTTTTGTCAGCTTAACATGCTTGGTTTAAGACTCTGTAATTACTTTCAACTGCAGGAAATTATTAAGTACAGAACCCCAAAACACAGAATTTTCAATGAGATATATTTACCTAGTGTCATTTAATAAATATATTACTGATAATCTGTAAGAACATAATACTTGAAAACAAAGAACTGATTCTGAGTCACAAAGCTCCGAGATTTCAGTAGTTCTATTTCTGAAGATAATGAATCCTTAAGCACTAACACAGAAGAAGAGGATATGCAACACAGAATGGACCTGGCATGCTGCCCGGAGAAAACTAGACAACCGTGGAGTGTCAATCTTTGGTACAACTGTGACATCAGAGAAGTTTTTTTCTTCACTACCTAGGATAAAACACAGATTTATTAAGTTAATAAAGTCAACTCCGAAAAGGTTATGCTTTACAAATCACGGCATTCAAAGCAGTGTTGCAAATACTGAGAACCCTAGAACAGTCAGAACACGGCATTACAGTCTCTATTTGTGATTGTTTCCAATTTCACATTGTTTGATAGTAAGTTCATGAGCATGAATCCGACTCAACTGTCTTAAGGAACCAGGGTGTCTGGTGCTAGCTTTGGGTTACAGGTCAATCTTACACAGATGAAAAATCTGCAATATTTATCATCTAGAACACCTGGAATCAGAGACACCACACCTAGAGCTTTCTTATGGTGACGTCTACTTGATTATATTTTTCTTGCTGTATAGAGACAATTTCTTAACAACAACAACAACAAAATCAGTAAATATATAATCCATCTGAATAGCTGCACATCCCTGTGTTCTAGAAACCTCTGGTCTGCACTGTTGGAACATATCTTCAAATTACACTTAAAAAGTGAAAATTCGGGCTGGAGAGATGGCTCAGAGGTTAAGAGCATTGCCTGCTCTTCCAAAGGTCCTGAGTTCAATTCCCAGCAACCACATGGTGGCTCACAACCATCTGTAATGGGGTCTGGTGCCCTCTTCTGGCCTGCGGTCATACACACAGACAGAATATTGTATACATAATAAATAAATATTTAAAAAAAAAAACTACAGAGAAACCCTGTCTCGAAAAAAAAAAAAAAAGAACCACATGGTAACAAGAGATTCTACCTTTTAAAAAAAAAAAAAAAAGTGAAAATTCTATACTGATGAGAACAAACTATCCCAGTCTCAGAACAGAGTTTGTCCTGCAGTCATAGGGTGAGTATTTGGAATATGGAATCAGGCCAATTTAATGATTCCCTGTGATTCAATAGCTCTAATCTCATTCATTAACATGAGAGAATCTGTTCTTTCAAAAGAATATTGAAAGGGTGCTTCCACAGTCATGTATTAACAACCACACAAAAAGAAACACAAGAAAAGGGAATTGGGTAAAGACAACGTGAAACCTACTGTAAGGGGTAGACAGTCAACACTCAAGAGGACCAAGGTTACCTCCAGATACAACAGAGCCTTCTCCTGGGTGCTGAGTCCACACTTCCCTGGTTTCTATATCTTCAGTCTGGACGTCTCTCTCAACATTATCTTCATTGTACTGAACATATGCCTTAAAGAAAAAAGAGGGCTAGAATTAACACCTAGCTTTAATTTCAGAGCAAATTACTGAAGATAAAAGCAACTACAATTTTTAAAAAGCTAGTAAACTTAAAGATTTAAAGGTAAGCGTTCTTGGGGTTAGGATACACCTCCTGCACTAAAGTGGGTGACACAATTCGCTAGGCTTTGGTTCTGGACTATATAAATGGGAGAAAAGAGCTGAGGACGATTATGCACGCATCCATTATTCTTCTCTTCTGACTGCAGATATAACATGAGCTCCTCTCAGGAGCCTTCCTACTATGGTTGGCGGTAACGTGGACTTGTGAACTACAATAAATTCTTTCTCCCCTAGGTTGATTTTGTCAGGACATTTTATCAGAATGACCAGAAAAGAAACCGAGACACTGTCCTATGTACCAATCACTCATCGTGCCCAACAAGCCGTCTTTAGACTCCGCATCCTTTGAGTTTATAAGTACAAGTTATAAAGGACACTCGCAAACACAGCCTCCAGAGACATTTCCAATTCCCATATTCTAGAGTGCACACAAGGCACACACATAATATCCTTCCATTAGACAACACATCTTTTACTAACCTGTTTGGTATTCTTTTTTCCGAAGTTCCTAATATACATGTCATATTCATTTACTGGTGGTAGGTCCAAGAGAGAAAAGGTGAATGAAAAATCTAAATCAATAAGCCGGAGCAGTTTTGTGCTTCTTGTCCTTTAAAACAAATTAGAAATGAAAAGAAATTGAATAATATACCCGGAGACATGCAGGAGAGTGTATTTTAGGGTCATGTGAAGGGATTAGAGATTGTCTCAAGTACTCAATAATTATTTTAAATTCCCCCTGATGCCCTAATGTGATGGGCTCTGGATTCAGCACTTGTGTTAGTTGACCACTGTCACCTCCCCCCAGTCTAAAGCAAGCTGAGCAAGAAAGGAGATATTTCTCCCACTTTGGTAAGCACTCGCACACCGCTGGTGTTCAGTATACTATGAATGAGCGAACGATCCTCAGCACCACGGGGTCGCAACAGTTCTTTTTTCTCATTTCCCTCCTCGCCTGTCCTTCCCCACTGACACTGTCACTTTTCCACCATCTTATTCTCGGGTCACCATCCTCTATCTTTCTACTTACTACCTTCAATTTTGAGGAATTGTTTTTGTTTTGTTTTGGTTTTTTAAATTATTTAATTATTTATTTATTTGCTAGAGCTTTTTTATTTATTTATTATGTATGCAATATTGTGTCTGTGTGCATGTCTGCAGGCCAGAAGAGGGCACCAAATCTTTTTACAGATGGTTGTGAGCCACCATGTGGTTGCCAGGAATTGAACTCAGGACCTTTGGAAGAGCAGGCAATGATCTTAGCCATTGAGCCATCTCTCCAGCCCTTGTTTCGTTTTTTGAGACAGTTATTCTGTATAGGCCTGGCTGTTCTGGAACTCACTCTGTAGACAAGCCTGGCTTCGAACTCACAGAGATCCACCTGCCTCTACTTCCTGAATGTCGGGATTAAAAGTGTGCCAACAATGCCCAGCATTTGGATAGCCTTTTAAGGGACTTCTTATCCTAAACAGTCAAGTAAGACGAAGTCCCCCAATAAAGCATCATGTCCCCACCCCCCACTCTATGCGCACACACATGCACGCACACACACACACACCTTTTTATTTTCATAGCCATAAAATGTTAACCCAAAGTCTGGCTAAGCCTCAGAAAAAAAAATTCACAAGTTGGAAATGTGCCTATTTTTCTATTCTCTGAAATCTGTGAAAATGGGAGTTATTTCCTCAGGTATTTAAAATATGATAGGCCAACTATTTGCTTTAATTTGTGGGAAAGTGATTTATGTATTAAATACATTTAATGAACATAATGTATTTAAGCATAATTTTCTACTCTATTTTAGATCTATTGTGATGAGTTGCATCCTTCTAAGGTTTACTCATTTCACCTAAATTTTTATTGGCAGTTATTCATATAATCTTATTTAATTTTAGTAAGATCTGCAGTAATATTCTCTTTTCCATTTTTACTGTCTTTGTTTTCTTTCTTTATTGTACTTAATCAAGACCTTCCATGAAGTTTATAAATTTTAGGAAAAATTTCCAAGAATAATTTTGACTTTGCTGAATTTATTGCAAATGCTTTCGATTTTACAGATTTTTGCTCTTACCTTTCATTGCATTTCTTTGAATTTCTAATTAATTGCTGTCTTTTCCCAGGCTTAGCATGGCTGCTTGCACCACTGATATTTCTCATTCTCTCTTTAAAGTGTGTCTGTTGTTATAGGGTCAGCGTACCCCAGAGACAGAGGTTCCCTTGTCACTGGTGAAAGCAGTTTGTGGATCTGGGTCAGGCTCAGTGCACTTGTGTCGTATGGATGGGGCCCTCAGTCTGACCACCAGCACCAAAGGTTCTGCTAATTTCTTCTTTTGCTTATGTTCACCAAGAAGTACAATGTTTAATTTTCTAACTTCTGGGAGTTTTCTACTTGACTTCCTATTGATCTGGAGAAGAGAAGATATGTATACCACCAAAATTAATCAATATTAAGTTTGAAAAGAAGAAACTCCTTGATAAAGAGAAATGACAGCTCATCTACAGAGGTGACAATCATACAAGTTATAGGAAAACCTCACTAGTGTTGGGGCAGGATTCTGTTCTTGTCTGTGTAGGAAAATAGAAAATACCAATCTTCAAGAATTCAGGAGACCTGAGACATCTAGACACCTGAAGAAGAAAGAATCCAGAAAGAATTACCAAGCAAAGAAAAATCTCACTTAAGATATCAATATTCTGGGGGCTGGAGAGATGGCTCAGTGGTTAAGAGCATTGCCTGCTCTTCCAAAGGTCCTGAGTTCAATTCCCAGCAACCACATGGTGGCTCACAACCATCTGTAAAGACGTCTGGCGCCCTCTTCTGGCCTTCAGGCATACAGACAGAATATTGTATACATAATAAATAAATAAATAATAAATAAATAAATAAATATTTTTTAAAAAAAAGATATCAATATTCTCTGCAAGTAAACTCTGAAGAAGATTGGGCATACACCAACGATTCCATCCGGTCCATTTAAAGATTGGCTTTGGACTACAAACTGCTCCGAGTAATTTTGAGGTGGCTAGCTGAGATGATCCAACCTAACAGACTACTCTAACCAGGATTTGAGAAAAGCCCTGCACTTTCTCATTGTGCAGAGACTGAACAACAAATGACAAAGCTACCTCTCCCAGGACTTGAAAATTAACACCAATTTTTCTTTTCAGGATCGGCTAAAGATGCCATTGTTCCAAGACATCAGGAAGCAAATTTAAGAACACAATGCCCACATTCTCAAGAGGTAGGGTGGGTGGCTTTTGGTCGTTCAATGGATTATGGATTATCTGTCATTGTTTAGAGTGATGGTTACAAGTTATTATTGGTAATGGTCAGAAAAAAAGCTAAACAAAGGAAATTAGATTTAAGGTTATTGTTTTGAAAGAACAAAAAGGGAGATATAGATAAGATAAAAGAGTAGATTACTGAATCTAATCTGAAAATAAAAAGCAAGAATATAGAAATAAGATAAAAAGTAGATTCAATAATCTATTTTTTTGTTGGTACACCTTTTTTTGAATTTTTTTTAATGTACTTTTTAAAAGCAACTAACTCTTAATTTTAAATGTTTTATATTGAATTGGACTTTTGTATCTTGTATAAACAGACTGTACATATGTCTCTAATCTTGCTCAAGGTGTTGTACCTATACAGCTCATTTAACAATGCAATGCAAACAACTTATAATGCACAGCCTTCAGACCAACTTAAAATTTGCAGGCAAATGAATGGATCTACAAAACATACTGAGTAAGGTAACCCAGACCCAGAAAGACAAATATCATATGTACTCACTCATAAGTGGCTTTTAGACATAAAGCAAAGGAAAAGCAACCTACAATATACAATCCCAGAGAATCTAGACAATAAATGAAGACCCTAAGAGATATATGAATCTAATCTACATGGGAAGTAGAAAAAGACAAAATCTCCTGAATAAATTGGGAGCATGGGAACTATGGGAGAGGGTAGAAGGGGAGGGGAGAGGAAGGCAGGGGAGCAAAGAAAAAAATGTATAGCTCAATAAAATCAATAAAAAATTTAAAAACAATGTAATGCAAATTTCTAGTCTATGAAAATTATTATTACCAATGTTTAAGATAATAAAGAAATGCAGGTTAGTAATAGTCACGTATTATGACCAAATTTGTAGTCATATTGGTATGTTTTCAAGGTCAAACAAATACTTCAAACATTTCAGAGTTATACGGAATATGGTATGTAATATGTTTTAATAACAAAGGCTCTTTTTTTATGACAATGAGACATGTCTGCTCCTGGTAGCACCAATTTACTTCAGAGAAGATAGTGGGTATCAAAGAAACTCCACATGGAATTGACTTTTTGTGGCAAAAGTAAACTACTGGGCAAGAAAATGCCCTTGCCTCGATTGCTGACAGTATGCTGTCCTAACTGGACAAGCAATAACACAACATTGTTTAATGTAAGGACAAGCCTGAGAAAGCTTTTAAAAAGGATTCTAGACAGACAAGAACAAAGCCAAGTGCAGCTTCTTGGTAACTGTGTTTACTCTGGTAGGCTCTGTTGGCTGGTGGTAAGCAGAGGCGCAGCTGCTTTAAGAAGGGCTTTCTGACTCAGCATTAGAGGCAAAAACCTCTAGTTTTTAGTTCTTTTAAGAGGTTCTGCCACCAAACACTTAAATAGTGTTTATTAGCAGCCGGATCAGGCTTCTTGGTGGTGGTATGGACCTAGAAACTCCACAGAATTGTGACCATAAATGTGGCTCCCGCCAGTACCTCCATCATGAAACTAGACTCTCAGAAAGCTAAGAAATGGGGTAGAGCCAGTTGCCAAAGCAGCTTTAATCCTATCCATAGCGCTTAGCAGTTTAAACACTCATGTGGTCAGAAAAAGATAGAGATATACAGTAAAGACAGATTCAGATGAAAAAAACCTCTAAAAAGTTTACAGTGTGTTTAAAACTATACATATGTTTGGGAGAGAAAAGAAAAAGAATACAAAAAGTCCTTTTAAAAAGGAAAGAGTAGTCAGGCGTGGTGGCACAAGCTTTTAGTCCCAGAATTTGGGAGGCAGAGGCAGGCAGATCTCTGTGAACTTGAGGCCAGCCTGTTCTACAGAGTGAGTTCCAGGACAGCCAATGATACACAGAGAAACCCTGTCTCAAATAAATAAATAAATAATAAAAAATAGAAAAAATACACGTAAAGATGGAAAATACACAGAGAATCTGGACAGTCTATGTTATTATGTTGTCTTCAAATTGTTTGACTGCTGAGGAAGGAATAACAGCTGCTAAAAGACATTTGATTTTAAATGTTGCTGGATTAATCCAACCTATATATTTTGAAAATGCCTTGACTTCAAAATTTAAGTTAAAAGATGTGTTACTTTGGAGAAGATAGTTTGCTTTTGTTTCCACAGGAAATGAGAGACTGTGGATTCATTCTGGGTTAAGAAAAATCAGGTTTGATTAAGGACGTCCCCCCAGAAAAATCTCCAATAGAAGCCCAGTTTATCCAACATTTCAGAGGACCTCTTTTGGAATTTCCTTTCAGTTCTCATCCAGAACAGCCTCAAGACTGCTAACTGAAATGATCAAGTCTCATAGAATATTCCAGTCAGGACCTGACCATTATCCTAAATTTTCTTTAGGTCCCCATAAGATTATCAGTGCCCCCAATCATCAAGTTGCCTAGAAACTTTGCCCACATTCCCAAAAATTGAATTATGGATGTTTGTCTTTGTTTAGAGTGTTGGTTACAAGTTGTTACGGATAATGGTCAAGAAAAAAAGGTAAACAAAGGAGATTAGATTCAGAGTTCTTATTTTGAAAAGAAGAAAAGGGGGGAGTACTGTGGGACAATGGTCTCATACACTGTAAAGATTTGTCACTTGTATTGATTTAATAAAACTCTGATTGGCCAGTAGCCAGGCAGGAAGCATAGGTGGGGGCAACAAGAACAGGAGAATTCTGGGAAGAGGAAAGGTCAGTCTGCAGTCATCACCCAGATGGAAAGGAAGCAACATGAGAGTGTCTCACTGCTAAAAGGTACCAAGCCATGTGGCTAACACAGACAAAACTTATGGGTTAAAATGTAAGAGTTGGTTAATAAGAAGCTTGGGCTAATAGGCCAACCAGTTTATAATTAATGTAGGCTTCTGTGTGTTTCTTTGGGACTGAATGGCTGTGGGGCTGGGCAGGACAGAAACTTCCATTTCCAAAAAATAAAAATAAAAACATATCCTTCCCTTTGTCATTCCCTTCTTTAGGAGTCCATGTTTTTATCTGTCATCAATTGCTTCTGCCTGAAAAAAAATGCCTGTTTCTTTTAGTATAGATCTGTGAGTAAGAAATTCTCCAGGTTTCTGTAGGTCTGAAAATGCATAACCTCTAGTTTAGTTCTTAAAGGACGTTGCTCACTTTGAGCGCTTGGAGCATGTTTGCCACGGTGGCCGACATTCTCCTTTGAAAAGCCCCCACTTAAGCTGTCTGCTCCAACTTTCAAGCTGCAGCTTCCCCACCTCTCTGGCTATTTTTAAGACCACCCTCCCCCTGGTATCTGGTGCTCAGTATTCTGACTGAATTCTCTCCTGCTGTACTTTTGTTTGTTCTTCATTATCTACATTTATGCTTCTTGTATCTTTTCAAGCCTTAACTGATGGAGGAAGGTCATTGATTAAAAAATAAAGAAACTGCCTTGGCCCATTTTATTGGTTAGAACATAGGTGGGTGGAGTAAACAGAACAGAATGCTGGGAGGAAGAGGAAGTGAGCTCAGAGAGGCCATGCTCCCCTCTCCCGGGCAGACGCCATGGAGCAAGCTGCCAGGTCAGACATGCTGAATCTTTCCTGGTAAGACTGATGCTACACAGATTATTAGAGATGGGTTGATCGGGATACGAGAATTAGCCTGTAAGGGCTAGAGTTAATGGGCCAAGCAGTGTTTAAAAGAATACAGTTTGTGTGTTGTTATTTCGGGTAAAGCTAGCCGGTGGCGGGAGCTGGGTGGTGGATGCAGCCCCGCAGCTCCCACAACACTTAACTTGCTTACATTTGTAGATTTTTTTAAAATCTGCAGAGAGTATGTCTTAAAATACAGCTTCTACCCTGGCCTTTCTCTTGTCCTTCCTGGGATTCAATTACACACAGCAGATAATGCTCACTCTGTGTCATGGCTTTACAGTCTCCTTTTTTATAAGCCCCCCTTCCTCATCTTCTCTTCAAGTTGAAAATTTCCCACTGTCCTCTCTCCAGCTCCCTAACCCTGCCACCTCTGATAACTTGCTATTAAACTAACTTAGCCATCGAATTTTTAGTTTCAATTATTGTATTTTTGGAGAAAGCACCTAAAATTTTATTGTCTAATTGATTTTAATGTTCCGATCAAATTCATTGCTTGTTAATTTATTTATACATAACCATGTTATTATAATTTTATTTTAAAAATGCAGATGAAATGATTTGCTCCAGGATCACACATGGTCCTGTTACTACTCTGGTTTCGCTCTTGGTTCTAGTGACCTGACCCCAGTCTCTGGTGTGTCTAGTGATTTAGTGGACCATAGGCACTGAGTAGAAAATTCTGTAGAAATTTTGAATATTTTCTTTTTAATTTCTTCCTGGAAAGGAGAATCCACTAAAGTAGGTCACACTAAACAGGTCCTGTTAGGATGAGCAGAGGCTCAGTGTCATGATCTATGACATCAGATCTACTTCAGCCTTGCCTTTATTCCTAGCATGGAGGCCCTAGGAGCTTCAACCAAAGTCAGGGGTGTTTAGCAAGAACTCTGCTACTTCAAAATCCTAGACTTCATTTTCCATCTCCCCAGCCCTAAGTGAATGCCAAAGTTCCTACTTTTGCTTTCTATCTGAATTGAGCATGTTGAAAACCACATACAGCCTCTGCGATGGGAATACAGTAGCAACACAAAGTTGGCATTCTCCACTTGTCTTGAAGAGCTTGGTCCTTTGGGTACTGGTGGTCCTAGCTGTTACTAGTTTTTCATGCAGTCATCTCAGAGTGTGTGCTTACTACTATGTTTTAGACCCAACTTTCACAGTTGTTTTCAACTGGAGGTTTTTGGGTTTTTTGTTTTGTTTTGTTTTGCTTTTTTGATACAAACTGTTCATCACAGAAAGAGGTAGAGTCCTGATGTGGGAAGGTCATTTGTCAATCTGTTGTTTCATTGGTTAATCAATAAAGAACACTGCTTGGTCTGATAGGTCAGAAAATTAGGTAGGTGGAGTAGACAGAACAGAATGCTGGGAAGAAGGGAAGTGAGCCAGACGCCATGCCTCTCCTCTCTGGTCAGATGCAATGGAGCAAGCTGCCAGGTCAGACATGCTGGATCTTTCCCAGTAAGACACCACCTTGTGGTGCTACACAGATTACTAAATATGGGTTAAGCAAGACGTGAGAGCCAAGAAGAGGCTAGATATAATGGGCCAGGCAGTGTTTAAATGAATACAGTTTGTGTGTTGTTATTTTGGGGCATAAGCTAGCCAGGCGGCTGGGAGCCGGGTGGCAGGAATGCAGCCTGCCACTCCATCTACAGAGTCCTGTCCTAATTCTTTAAAATTCGAAAAGGAATGTTGCTCTGACAACTGTACACTGCTCAGTACTGTCACTGGGTAGATACATCTGATATATTCTAGAAAACTACCTCTTCAAAGGTCTCGTCAAGATGTTTCAGTAGAGATTTTATCCTATGCACTCACTGGACACTGGGACACAGCACTGTTTTAACATTTCATCTGTTCAACATGGAAGTATTCATCTCTGTGAGTGCATAGGTTATGATTCCATTTGTGCACTGGCAGCATCACCTTTTCTATTGACTCACTGGTCATTCAAGGCCCATCTGGTGGAAGACTAGGGAAAGAAGTCAAGAGGAAAAAAGCTTTCTTCCCAGACCCTCTTATCCTGCTTGCAACATTTCTCTGTGGCTCCAGGCCTTGCTCTGCAGCCACTATGGTTCAACATCACTGATTTATCATAGACTTTGAGAGCCACTATGGTTCAACATCACTGATTTATCATAGACTTTGTGAAAGGCCAAAATTAATTTATGGTCTTCAGCCACTGCAGGATCAATATCGTACATTTTTTTTAACTCATCTGAAAGACTGCTCTGAGGTGAGTATTCCAGGGTTCTGCGCCACCTTGTGCTGCCTAGAGAATGATTTCCCACATTCAGACATCTAGACACTCCACAGCGAAATAAAGCCATGCTTCAAAAGGTCTGATTAATGCTTGAGCTGGTGGCAGACCTTGGGATCATTTTCATGGTGATAGTTTTACAAGCATACAAATACAAAAACCACTGGGTCATGGAGGTTTCTCCCTATATTTCAAGAGATCAGTGTCACAAAGCCACAATGCAACATGAGTCAAGCTCAATCTGCCTAGCAAGATTCTGTCCACCTGATCAGAAATGTATGACTGTGATTCTGCTGGAGTCACAACAGTCAGTCATTAGAGAGTAAGCATCTAGTATACAGAACAGTACACAGTAACCAGAATAAGAGGTGAACACAAAGGGAACCGTAGTACTAATTAAGGAATTGACCAGGCTAGGGACAGAGCTCACAAAATACTGGTTTCAATCCCCAATTTACCTCAACAGTCAACAATGAAAAGTGGGGAACTCTGGTTTGAAGAGTGTGTTGAGAAGGGTTCATTACAATGCACTAACGCAAAGCTACAGCCGAGATGAGCTCAATGAGAACATCTGCTAACGTACACAAGGCCCTGGGTTTCATCCACAGCAGAACGTGTGCACACACACAAATACCTGTGCCAAATTCCCCGATATACCTACTTTTGTTTGAGGGCCTGACTCCGGCTCTTCTGGCGATGTGAGGCTGTTACAAAATCCACAAAAATTCCACAAACAGGGGCTCTGGAAATGGAATCATTTCCATCTGCATAAGGGAAAAAAGATATTTTGTGATAATGAAATAGCTCCTTCAAACAAAAAAAGTAAAACAATTATAGTCACATATAAAATCGCATTAGATGTGCTCCCTGACCCCAGTTCATTACTTTGTCACCGCAGTCACAGCCATCAGATCAGCTCTTGGTATCACACTGCTAAGACTCAAGGAACCCCTCATGATGCCCTAAAAGGACAAGAGCAATGTGGATGTGCCAAAGAGGAACCATTAGAACCTTCCTCAAGGCCACCAGATGGTGTAGCAGATGAAGCAGAACTTACCAACTAGCCTGACAACCTGAGAACCCACAAGATGGAAGGAGAGAACTGGTGGAGGAGGGTCATCTGTCTATGTGTTACTTTCATTGGTTAATAAAGAAACTGCTTTGGCCTTTTGATAGGCCAGTCCTTAGGTGGGTAGAGAAGATCGAACAGAATACTGGGAGAAAGAAGCAGAGTCAGGCAGATGCCATGAATCTCGGGCCCGAGACGGATGTAAATTAGGATCTTTCTCGGTAAGCCACAGCCTCGTGGTGCTACACAGATTTAATGGAAATGGGTTAATCAAGATGTGAGAGTTAGTCAATAAGAGGCTAGATATAATGGGCCAGGCAGTGTTTAAATGAATACAGTTTCTGTGTAATTATTTCGGGTAAAGCTAGCTGGGCAGCTGGGCGGGACAAAAAGCAGCCCACTCCTCTATTACAACAGAGAACCAACTCTAGAAAGGTGCCCTCTGACCCCAACATAAAACATGGACAAGCACATTGGTCTAACACACATATAAATAAATAAATAAATAAATAAATAAACAAACAAATAAATAAATTTTAAAAAGACCTTCCTTAAAATAAAAAAGTGAATGTCCTCAATTTAAGGAAAGAAAAACAAACCCCCTGAGGCTGCTGAGTTCAATTGTAAAATCAAGTCCCCTATTCATGAAAACATGAAGAATAAGAAATTCACACTACATGTGCTGCACCATCTTAACCTGCAAAGTTTCCACATCAGTACATGATGTGAGCCTAATTAGGAGGGCAAGGCACTACATTTGCGCTGGAGAACATGTTCAAGCTGATGCAGAGTGCTACATCAGAAAGCACTCGGGGGCCAAAGGTCATTCAGTGCTCCAGCCCTTGCTGCTCTAGCAGAGGACCTGAGTTTAGTTCCCAGCTCTCAACTGTCCATATCTCCAGTTCCAGAGGGTCTGATACCCTCTTCTGACCTCCTGAAGCACCAGGTGTACATGTATATATGCAAGACACTCATAAAATAAAAATAAACAACCCTTTCAGAAAGCACTTAGGCTATGAAGGCCTCAGCAAGGGTCTCCCTCACCTGCAGGTGAAGAAGCTGGTTAGGGAGGATGGACAACACCTGAAGCAAGTCTTCAACTGCAGCAAAACCAGGCTCTTCTGAAAGATGCCAGGTGGAAACCACAGTCACAAAACTAGGAAGATGCAGATATAAGCCTACAATCCTAGCACTCAGAAGGCTGATGTAGAAAAAATTAAGAGTTGAAGACAAGTCTGGGCTATACAGTTAGACTATCAAAGAAACAAAACTGTAAAAGAAGGAAGTAGGGCTTAAAACATGAAAGCATGGATCAATTCTGGCACTACATGAAGTACCCTGCATGACAAAGCAAATACAGCGCACACAGCCAGGAGTTCACATTCACAAAAGCAAAGCACTTGCATGTGTTCCAGCAACTGAGTCTTTGCATGTGTGCCAGCAACTGAGTCAAGGAGTGTTGGTGACAGCCATCTTGTAAAAGGGTTGGTATTTAAAGCCCTACTAACAATAAAGGCATCTGTCAACAAAATAAAAACCTCAAGGTTATATTTTTATACCAAATACACCATTCTACTTTAGCCCCTTCAGATGAGGGCTCTATGCTTGACAAGACCACATATGCCTGTCCTGCGTATGATCATAATCGACACAGGTCCTGATGGGGACAGAGTGTGGAGCTGGGATTCATTAACGGATGCAATAACATTCTTCAACACTGCAATGGACAAGTTAAAACTGGAGACTGCTGGAAGGACTGACGGAGTGGCAGCAAGACTCACTGGGAAGTCACAGACATCATCTAGGACAAGCCCAGCTGAGGAATGATATTGTAAGCTCACAGTGAAAAGGTAGAAGAAAATACTGAAGGCCAACAAAGAATGTCAATAAATGAGGTCCTGGAAGAACTTGTGCATCATCTACAAAGCACAGAAAGATGAAGATGAAGTACGCCCAGCAAGGTGGACATCACCAAAACTGATCAACGCTGCCTTAACATTTTGAATTGCAGATACTAAAACACAAAATTGTGGCCTATGACTTGCATAAAACTCAGCATTAAAATCACTCTCATCATCACCAAAGGATGACCTCAGCAGGAACATTTTAATGTGGTAGAAAGAAATGCAACTTCCCATTAAAATGTTCTTCAAAAAATGTTTACACAACAACTGAGATTCCTTGCCATGGACACTTGTGGCTCCTGATATACAACCATTGGTCGTCATGGCCCAGTGATCTGGGGTCACCCAAAAATAATACTTCTTCTGACATATTATTGGCAGGTAAGCAGTAATCTAGATAAATCCCAGTGCCCCTGTCACTCATCTCAGTTTAGATCATCACCTCCTATCAACACAAGATGTGTAAGTAGAGGACTATAAAATATTTTAACTAAGACAAGTCCACATTCACATAGCTTTGGTTATAGTAGATGCTATATTATTTCTGCTACCATTAACCTCTCATTGTACCTAATTTCCAAACTAAACTTAAGCATAAGGATGTATGGGGAAGAGAAAAATATAGTATCTACTGGGCTTGGAACTACCTGCAATGATAGGACTGTTTATGTGTGTGTGTGTCGGGGGGGGGTTGTCCACAGATGACAAGAATGATATGCTAAAATAAGAAAATTAGTATATAAATACAAAATAGTTAAAAAGCAGAAATAAGTATAAGTGAAGATTATATAAATCACTTAGTCTGCAAAAAGGGATAAATTATCAAAACTGTAGGTACATGCTTTATCAGGACACAGGTTTCAAAAGACATGATATCCTCATTATTGGGCTGACAGAAAAGGCTCATACTGTAAAAAAAAAAAAAAAAAAAAAATTCCTGAGTCTATCGTTCCTGAGGGAAACAATCATCCACAATCCACCACTTTCTTCTAGGAGTTCCTAGAGTTCTCTGTTATCAACATGCTTATTTTAATTGTATTATTAACCTGTCTCCTCAATCCTCTTGGACATATATTTGAGTTTAAAAAGAGTATAAGATGCAGACCATCTTGTGGTTTTATATACCTTCAGAGGCCTTTTGAGCACATAGTCTCACTGATCCTCAAAGCAGAGGGCCAGTGATATAGAGGGTGTGGTTTTGGAGGAGACCAAAGTACAAGTTTTGGCACTTCCTGGGGTAGGTCATGCCATGAACATTAATATACCAACTACAAAGCTCCAACCAGACCTTGAGAAAATTGCTGTCCCAGCTGTTAAAATAAAGAAACCTGTCTCTGTCTTTAAAGTCACAGATGCAAATACTGGGGCACAAGCGACACCTCTGGACCCTCAGCATTTGGTGCTCATTCCCCAACATATGCCTTTTGAAGTTATGAAATTCTTGCAAACACTATGGTTGACTTTGGTCGACTACAAAAAGGTATTTATCCGTTTCCTACAGCCAAAAAAAATAGTAATATGAGAAGTTTATAACCCTAGGAGGCAGAAGAATGTTCTCCTAAAACAACCTTATGGCAGTCATGGTTAGCCAAACAGGTACAGTTTGCTACAAATGTGATGACTAATCAGGAGTCATAGCACTTATAGATACTGCTCATGTTTTTGAGATCACCATATCTATTAACTTATTTAATTATAACTCTAGAGGAGGTCTCACCCTTACAGAAACTAAAAACAGAGACTAAAAGTCAGTGTCCTAGTTAGCATTTACTGTCAACATGACACAGTCTAGAATCACTTAAAAAAATCATAATTGAGTAATTGTATCAGGTTGGTGTGTGGCCATGTCTATATAGACTTGGCTTGACTATGTTAACTGATGTAGAAGAGCTCCCCCCACTACAGATGACATCATCCCAAAGTCAGTAGTCCGGGGCTAAGATAAGGAAGCTAGCTAAGCATGAGCTAGAAAGTAAGTCAGACAGCAAGCCAGCAGGCAACATTCTTCCAGGGTTTCTGCTTCAAATTCCTGCTTGGGCTCCTGTTTTGACTTCTGTTTAGGGGGAAGCTCCACCTTGGCCCCACCTCTCTCTCTCTCCAGACCCTGCCTTCATCATGGTCTCAGTATCTCACCATAGCAGCAGAAAGGAAACTAGAACACAGCTCAAGCTCACACAGCTAGCCAATACTTAAAGTAAATTTTGAAACACAAGAAGAAGCACTATTAAACCTCTTCTGAATTGCTGTCTACAGTACCAAGCGTGGCTTTATCACTGTAATCACCTCTGTTCTGTCCCCCTGTACTAGTCTAATGATGAGAGAGCCAAAACTGAAGTTCCTATTTTCTAAGGAATAATGTGAGTGTGACCAATTAATCTTACCAAGAAAGCTAATGAAGAGATCATGCCACACATAAATGTGGGAAATAAAAAGGTTATTCACAGATTTATTACATAGATCTAGGTTCACTGCCACTCCACCATGAGTTCATGGTACTAATACCTAGGCTACAGCCAGTCCACACAGTAGAAAGAAGGCTGGGTCCTTTCTTCTGACAAGCCCAGATAGCCCTAGCCCTCATGTTTCTAACTCTCAATTTATAGAATATTAAGAATCCATACTGCCTAATAGCTCGGCTGCCTCTGTAGCAGACAAACATTGTGATTACTGACTATTCTTTCATATTTCCATTTGCATTATTATACTGCAGTAATAACTAATTGCTTTAGCTATTACTGCATGGATACCATCAAAAATAATAAAGATGTAATTCCAATAGGAGAGACCAATGTGGTGGATCAACCTGTTGAAAGGGAAAACTCACCAAAGTAGGATCAAGACAGGCTTTGTTTTTGTCTTTCCAGGAAAATAAAAACATCCATTTGGAGAAATTTAAAGATCTTTAGGCAAATAAGCATCTAAAGAAGGAGGAAAAACTATCTGGAAAAAAATTACCAAAAAAAAAAAAAAAAAGAAAGGAGTAATCTGGCCTAATGGTGTAATATACTTCCAACAGGGTAAAATTTCATAAACCTATAGAACTGTCTGTCTCTACTGGTCTCTACCACGTTAAACAGGTAGTCTTTATATAGGCCCAACTCAACTAAAAACTAAAGGCAGCTTTTGAATTGGAGTGTGGCTCTCTCCTTCTCTAAACCCAAGCATGTTTTTTAAAAGAAAATCAAAGTCTCTGTCTCATATCAGAAAAGCCACCTAGTATGGAACAAAAAAATAAATCTAGGGACTATCATATTGTCGATAATCTCATTCCCCTTGAATTTACTTTGGCTCTTTTTTAAAAAAAACCTTAGATATAAGTACTATCTCAAAATTTAAACTTTCTGCTTTGGTATTAAGAAGATTATAAGTATTAACCAATTCTAACCTTAAGCTTCATGTAGCTTCCTGTACATGATTTCAGGATTGAGTCTAAACAGATGTTTAAAAATTAAGCCTGGATATCCCAGAAGTATTTAATACATTATGATCTTTTAACCTTCCTAAGATTTATAGCATATAACATTTGACATGTTTAAGTTTTCTACAGTAAACAATAAACTTTCCTAACAGCAATCTCTGAAGTCTCCAAAAGGATGATGGGCCCCTACAATGACAATTCTACCTGGATTGCAATAATGCCACCAAACAGATAATCACCACCCAAAGATCAGCTTTGGACTACAAACTGCTCAGGACAATTCCAAGTTGAGATGGTCCACCTTCATGCACTTCTCCAGCTAGGACTTCACATAAACTCAACACTTTCCCCTTACTCAGAGATTGGTGACAAATGATACATCTGGTTCTCCCAAAATTTGACTATTGTTTCAGTTTTTTTCAGGGTCCCCTAGAGATGCCATCAGCCCCAGAGAGTAGGAAGTAATTTAAGAACATGACTTCTACTTTCCCAAGAGGTGGGGTAGGTGGCTTTTGTTCTTTCTCAAAGTTATGAATATCTGTCATCTTATAGGGGATTAGTTAAAAGTTGTTATAAGTTATAGGGCTGAACAAAAGAGATTAGACTCAGGGTTCTTGTTCAGAAAAGAAAAAAGGGGGATAGATATGATAGGATTAAAAAGATAGATTATTACATCTAATTTCAGACTAAAACAGCAACTATTAGTTTTAAATAATTTACATTGGTATGAATTCTTTTTGTTATACTGTATATCTGTTTCTACTTCTGTTTAAGATATTTTTTATACTGATACAAATTTAAGGTTATTTTTTGTTATACTGTATATACATTTCTACTTCCATTTCAGGTATTTTGTATTTTGTTACAAATTTGAGGTTATTGTCCTTATATTGTATATCTGTTTCTATTTTTGCTTATGACATTATCTATACAGCTCATATTGATACAGCTTGTTTATTTATGCAATGTGAAGTTTTAGCCCATAAAAGCTATATTGGATAATAAGGAAATACAGATTAACAGTCACCCATAATTATCAAACTTATAGTCAAATTTAGTTGGGTTTTCTAGGTATACAGAGATATGTTTCAAATAGATAGGTAATCTTCAAACACTTTAAAGACCTACAGAATATGGCATTTAAAGTGTTTTGATAACTTAAACTTGTTTTGATATGAGATACGTCTGCTCCTGGCAGCATCAATCTACTTCTAAAGAGGATGATGGGTACCAAAGACACACCATATGAAGTTTGCTTTCTTTGTGACACAAGCTAGCCCTTAGGGCAAGAAACTGCCCTTTAACTGCTGACAGTTAGGCTGTCCAAACTGGACAAGCAGAACACAAAGAAAAGCAACTGCCAAATTTTGCCCAGACAAGATAGGACAGTCCTTCAAAATTTCCTGCTACTGAAAAGGTCTGTCAGATAGTCTAGACCTATAGGCCAAAGATGCATGCCCCAAGGTTGTAGAGGAACCTTAGGTAACTGTCCCAGCAGCCAGCTGTTTCTGTTAGTTCTCACATTTTGAAAGTCACTTGTTTGCACATCCTGCTTACTCAGGTAATATTTTCCTTCTCATTTCTTTGATGGGGATGAAGACTAGACAGAGTTCTCTCGAATCTTGACAAAAGACATATTAGGTGCAAAACTTTGGACTCTTCAGGAAAGGACAGCTATTGGAATAATCTCTATAAATCTGCCAATTACTTATGGACTGGACATTTTGAATACATTTCTTACTTAATAATTGTTCTTGTTGTGTGTAGTTTCATTTTTGTTAAGGTTATCACCTTTCTTTTCTATCTGGACAATATTTGATAATAATTCTTATTGTATATAGTTTTACCATGTTAGGGTTAGAACCTTTCCTTCTTAATTAAATAAAAAGGGGGAACTGGTAGGGGAATTCTGTCACCAACCTACTAGACAATTGAAAGGAGTGTTTTAGTCCTTTTGGTTTTCATGGGAAATGGCTGTGACCAAAAGAAAAGGTAGGGCTGAGCGATACCTGCCCTCTTTGGTCTGGGAACAAATGGCAGTTGTGGCAGAGGCAAGTGGTGGTGAGGAGGACATCACCAAAGAGAATAAGAACACACGCCTAGAAGCTGCACAAGAGGCTAACAATGCAAGTCAACATACATAGTTGTACATAGGAACGGTGACTGACATTTCATAGCCATCCTCAACCCACGTCTTGTGCCATAGGCACATCGCATAGCATTGCCTGATATATCAAGTATAAAATCTGCCCACCTTGTGGAACTTTTCAGCAAATGTCTACATAGCTCCCAGAACTTGTTTCCCAGTTTTAAGTGTTCCTGTCTATACCTTCCCAGGGCTCCTTCTCATACTCCATTCGACCTTGCTTCTGAGACAGTTTCAAAGATAACTCTCCAACCCTTTCATTCTCCGCACTGATTGCCTTTTGAATTTCTTGTATCTCCCTTTTCTGGGCTAGAGGAAGTTCTTCAGCCTTTTCTTTAGAGTCATGCTCATTATTGCTGTCATCCTCTCCATCACAAACCTCAAAGTCATCTTCATAATCCTATAAACAAGAATAAGGATTTTTAGCACCCATCACACAAATCACAAATGAGTTAATACCTAAAACAAAACATCACAATTTATGATTCAAAATAAGAAAAAAAACCCCTTATTATTGCTAAAGGAAATTTTATAAGGCACTGATTTTAATATTGCTAGATTGTAAATTTGCAATATACTGCTGCCTTTGTTTTTCTGAAAATGAACCATGACATAGAACCTTGTATATGAAGAAATATAAATAATGTATAAACATTGTGCTAAGATTGTGAAGGGTTATGCACACATATAGTTAGATATGCACACACACATAAATGCTTGAATACAGTGCACTTAAAATGGGGTTAAATTGTAAAACTCTTTAATTATCAAACACAGTGAGGACAAGCATTGGTGGGAATATAGTAAGCTTTGCACAGGTAATGACCAGATCTACATCAAAACTTAACAGACATGGACAAGAGAGAAAAGGCTAACCAAATTACTTTACATGCACCAGTCAGTGGAAGCACACGCCTTTAATCCCAGTACTTGGGAGGCAGAGACAGGTGGATCTCTTGAGTTCTAGGAAAGAAACCCTGACTCAAAAAAAAAAAAAATTACAACACAGGCACTAATTTTTAAGAAGGCATTGTTAAGCTGAGAAAAATTTAAATGTTATACATACTTCAAAATCATCTTCAAAATATTCATCAGCCGCAGTAGCCTCTAAATCAATGTCTTCCTTTTCAGGTTCCTGGAAGCAAAAGTCAAATATGAAATAAAAAATTCAACCATAAGCTTCACTATTGCAAACAGGCTGGAAACCCTTGTTTTCTAGGGATTGCGAGGTGAATTATTGTAAGAGATAACCTTGTAAGAACACACTATACATTTTAAAAAGCTAAAAGAACTTTAAGCTTTCACCATAAAAAAGTAATAAATGTTTAAAAGATGTTTACTCTAGTGAACATTATATAATATACATGTGACCAGATACAGTTGTTTCGGATTCTATAAAAAACGGGGCATCTTAGAAAATGTGTATGAGAACAAATTACTTCAGTGGGTCTCAGAAAACATTAAGCAACTAGAATAATGAAGCCAAATATACATAGGAAGAAATTAGATCTTTGCAATCAGTAGCTATACATTTTTAATCTTTTCTGTAAACTGTTTACCAATTCTGATTCAAACTGTTTTATAACTTGATCACTTAATTTCTCTTTTAAAAGTATCAGCTTCCTTTTTAAGGTTTAGTTTCAAATTTTAATGACAGACTTTTTTAATTTTCTGTTAAATGAACATTAACAGCTGGTTGTGATGGCAAACACCAGAAATCTATGCTGATTGGTAGACAGAGGCAGGCAGAGCAGTGGTAGCACACTCTTTTAATCCCAGGACTGGCAAGGCAGAGGCAAGTAGATCTCTATGAGTTCAAGGCCAACCTGGTCTACAGAGGGAGTTCTAGGACAAGCTCCAATGCTACACAGAGTAACCCTGTCTTGAAAAAAAAAAACAAAAAAAGAAAAAGGAAGAAAGGAAGAGAGGGACGGAGGGAGGGAGGGACGGAGAGAGGGAGGGACGGAGGGAGGGAGGGAGGAAGGAAGGAAAGAAGGAAGGAAGGAAGGAAGGAAGGAAGGAAGGAAGGAAGGACGATCACTTGGGCCCATGATCTCTAGACCAGCCTGCACAACATAGCAAAACCTCTCATATCTGGGGGCGGAAGGGCAGAACACTTAACTACATAACTAAAAGATTTGCGTTCACACTTTTTAAAGGATTAGTAATCTCCCTCTATTGATTACAAAGTATTGACAAGTCATATTTTGTATGTCATAACCATTGATGGTTAACAATGTCAACTTAGAGAAGCTCCTACAATATCTACAAAGCACACTCCTGACTGTCATGAAGATGTGTCCAAAGAGTGAGGATCAGTCAGCAGAAAGACCCACCTAAATGTGGACGGCACATCACATATGCTAGAGGCCTAAAAAGCAGTAACATAGGCCTGTTCCCTCTGCCACAATGGACTGGTCTCTGAAAACATGAGATGAGACACATCTGTCCTCCCTTCATTTCTTTATAGCATACATTTTGTTGCAGTAACAAAGATTAGCAGGATATTAGACAGTAAACTGTAACATTATTAGGCGACCCTGAGGAACTTTCTCTACATGTTGACATGGAAAACAGTGATACCTTCGCTTCCCTCCTCTTGTGCTCTTCTCTCCCAGATCTCTCTCTTTTATCTGTGTGACTGCGGCGCCTCTCCTCATCATGATGGAGTCCTTCCTTGTGCCGCTTCTCTCGGTGTCTCTCTTCCACTTCCCTGTCAGAGAGCGAGTTCCCCTTTTCTTTTGAATGTTTCTCTCTTTTCTCCCTCGTGCTGCTTCTGTCTCGGTGTCTCTTGTCCCGATCTGTATCTCTCATCTTCCTGTGCTTCTTTTCACCTTCCTCTTTATACAGCCAGTAGTTGAGAGGATTCTCTTTACTGTCTCCGTACTGCAGCTTTGAAACCAACAGGGAAATCTATGTGAGCAAAGGGGTCACAAGCACTGTCTATGTATTTTAGGATGAAAGAAGCAGAAAAAAAAACCACAAACAAACAAACAAAAAATCACACAGCCAGCACTGCTCTGTATCCCTACAATCCTCAGTCTGCTGTCCTGGAAGAAAAGTGATCCTCATTCACACCAAGAAGCACTGCAAAGCAGCAGCATCTAAGCCGAGATGCCCTCCTGGACAGACGTTAAAAATGTCAAAATTCCTCAAGATGATGGTGTGGGTGCCCTGTGTGAAGGCTTGGTCTCTAGGCAGTCACTACTGGGAGGTACTGTGGCCTGCAGGAGGTACAGCCCCAGGAAAGGCTGTGGGGACTGTGGGCCTCAACTCTTCCTATTCCTCTCTCCTCCGCGCTCTTACCTAACTTGGGATGTGAGTAGCTTTGCTCCGCCATGCAGTCCCACAACATGCCACTGCCCTACAACAGGGCCAAAGAGTCCTGGGCTGAAACTTCCAATACTATGCATCAAAGTCAACCTTTCTTTTTATATATTGATTTCTTTGGATATACTATTATAGTTACAGAGAACTAACCCAGACACACAGCAAAGCACATAGAATTGGCCTTCTTTCTTGCTCCACAACACTCTTAATTTGTCCTTCACCTTCAGCTCCACAGTTCTGTAGGCTCTGTTGCAAGGTCTTGGTGACTTCTGTAGGAAGGCAGTCCCTGTGGAGAACACCAGCACCTGCTGCTACTGTCTGCTTGCGGGGACACGGTGTGTCGCCTTCCCTTAGCTGTTCCTCATTCCCACTCAGACAAAATGACTATCATCAATCATCTCTTTATCCCAACACCACCACCAAAGTTCAGCGAGTCACTCGTGACAGGAGTTATTACGATGGTGTCCTAGCTCTGATTCCATCTCGGAATCAGACCCTGAGCAAGCCTGACTGGATCCGTCCAAGCCAAGGGCCGTTGCACTCACTCACTCCCACAGCACACCTTGGTTCTCTATGTTCTTTTCACCAATTTGGGGTGCTTAAGAGTTCCCCCTACCTCCTTCCTCAGTTCTCCTTAGCTCTACTTCACGTTTATTTCTGCCAGGACAGTATTTCTAGAGAAATTAGGGGGTTCTGAATGAGCCCCTCAGCCTTAAAGGCAGGTCAGTACCTAAGATCACTTGTCAAAATTAACTATGTGAATTAAAAAGCTAAGTCTAAAGAACTTTTATAGACCCCTAATAAAACCCAGACAATCAATCACTTCCATCACTATGGAGGAGGAAGACGGTTTGTGAAACATTCTCTCTGCCAAAATACAAACTTATCTATGTCATAATTTGCACTTACTTATAAAAGATTCCTCAAATCAAATTTTAAAAAAAAATAGCATCATAAAACCATAGCAAAGAGTTAACCTTTTAAAGTATACCCAAGACTTGCCACTAGAAAGTAAGTGCTACACAAGCGGTAATTAATATGAGGGTGGTTAACGTCCATAAGAAAATACCCACACAGGGCAAAGGAGGAATCTCTTCTAATGTTCTTCAGCCCAGGATGATTTTTTTTAATAAACAATGTTTTTCTGGCCAGTTTTATATAAACCTGACACAAGGTGGAGCCATCTGAAAGGAAGGAACCTCGATTGAGAAAATGCCTCCATAAGATCTCACTGAAGGGCATTTTTCTTCTTAGTGATTGATGGGAGAGGGCCCAGCCCATTGTGGGTGGTGCCATCACTGCACTGGTGGTCCTGGGTTCTCTATGAAAGCAGACCCGAGCAAGCCCTGGGGTAATAAGCAGCACCCCTCCAATGTTTGTGCATCGAGTTCCTGACTCCAGGGTCCAGACCTGCTTGAGTTCCTGTCCTGACTTCCTTTGGTGATGGACTCCATATGGAAGTGTGAACCAAATAAAGCCTCTCCTCCCCAGGGTGTTTGGTAACGGTGTTTCATCATAGCAACAGTAACCCTAAGACAAAATATCTTAGGTGGCAGACATGTCAATCACCCTATTACAGAGATTAAACGCTATATATACATATTGAAATGTCACACTGCCCCCATAAATAAAACAATTATTATATGTCAATTAGACGTTAAAAATATTTTTTAAAAGAGAAAATGTCTAGAAGTTTCATTTCCTTCTTAATCAGATTAGCACAGGGCTCCTGAGTGCTATGCTGGCCAGACAGCAGCCTTCCCTCAGGCTGGTCCTATTACCTTTCTTTCTCGGTATCTTCTTTCTCTATCGTCATCTCCTCTCTCAGAATCTTCATCTCTCCTGTCTTTCTCCTCAGCTCGTACTTTACTTGCTAAAAAATACAACATATTTTTAATATTCCCAAACTTTACCATATCAAAAAGGCCACCTGATAATCCTGTACATTTTATAACCGTGTACATGTTCATTAATTTGCATTTTAACATTCTTCAACTAAGACACATTTTCAAAACTCAAGAGTAAAAAGTGCCAGTATCTGAACTTAAGTGGAAGATAAATATGGCAGGCTAGGAACAGATACAATTCTTCTCCTCTCCCAATTTGTTACTGAGACAAGCAGGGAACGGTCTGTGTCCCCCAGAAAGTGGAGAAGGGCCTCATAAATGCACATGAGAAGAGGCTGAAGACATTAAGGTGGAGTCGGGGAAACAGGGCTCAACAGAACCTGCAAGAGAAGCCACAGGTGAGGCATTGGTGATGTCCGAAGGCCTACCCAACACAGAAAAGCAGCCATCACAGAGAAGCAACATTATCTTACAGTTAAGAAAATCCAGGGCTGGAGAGATGGCTCAGAGGTTAAGAGCATTGTTTGCTCTTCCAAAGGTCCTGAGTTCATTCCCAGCAACCACATGGTGGCTCACAACCATCTGTAATGGGGTCTAGTGCCCTCTTCTGGTCTGCTAGCATACACACAAACAGAATATTGTATTCATAATAAATAAATAAATATTTAAAAAAAAAAGAAAGAAAGAAAATCCAAAGGCCAGGGCTTTAGCTCATGGTAGAGTTCTTGCCTACCATGCACAACAGCCCTTGGTTTGATCTACAAATCCCCAACATTGCAATAAAACTCCACTTCAGTGGAATATGTTTATTAAAATGCTTTGTTTTTGCTTATCTACAGACTAAGATTTATTGAGATAATAAATCAAAAATAGTTTCAAAAGTAAAAACACTAGTAAATACTATGAAAATGGTTCCTTTGTTGACTGAATTCTTTTTTAAAAAAAAAAAAAGCCATAGTAACAAACATAGAGAATAGGAAATGTGACTTCAAATCTAAAGCTAAAGTATCCATGAAAACCTGAGAGAAAATAAATGAGGAACTGAAAGGGGAAATGCTTCCAAAAATGAAAACTTCCAAATAAAATACCGGCCAAGAAAATGGCTCAACAAGTAAAAGCAATAGCCAATCAAGTCTGACGAACCCCAGAACCCATGTAAAAGCCGGATGCAGGTGCACACAGCTGCCGCGTTCCTATAGCAGGATGAGAGGTGAAGCAAGGAGAATCCGCCTTAACCCCTCAGCTCCGCAAGCCTAAAGTACATAACATGCAGAAAGAGGCCCATTTCAACAATGTGGAAGGCAAAACCAACTCCTGAACATTGTCTTCTAACCTCCACTCACAGAGTGTGGCACAAATGAACACACAGTCAATCAACAAATTAATGGAGCAAAAGAAATATAGCTAGTAAACTTACAAAACGTTAGGGTGATACTATAGGAGGAACCCCTAATACAGAGACGCACCTGCGCGGACCTTCTTTTCCACTCTCTCCAGCATCTGCCGGCCGCGCACCTCTCTAACCAGGAGGTCATGGTAGGCAGCAGTCTGCCTGAGCTCTTCTTTTCTGGCCCTTCTGTCTTTCTCTCTCTCTCTGTCTTTGCCTCGACTATGAACCTTCTCTGAATCTTGCTCTCGATGTCTTTCTTTCGGCCTGTCTTTCTCACGGTCTTTCACCTCTTTCCTCCTTTCCTTGTGCTTCTCCCGGTCTCTCTCCCCACGAGGATGTTCTGTGGAGGGGTGAAGGTCTCTCTCAGCAGTCTTCTCCTTGTGGCGGGCCTCCCAGTCTGGGTCCCTGCTCTTGTGTTCTCTGTAATCAAGAAGACCCAGTTCTGACTCCTTGTGCGTCTTCTTTTCTCTGAGTTTCTTCTCTTCCTTGGGACTACCTGATTGTACAGCCTGAAACAACACAAGGAAGAGCTTCCTTGACCAGGAAAGCCACACGCATTGACTCCCACTCATCAAAAACACTTAAAAATCACTGGCTGCAGTAAGATTTTTCTCAGTCCAGCAAGATGAGAGATGGAGCTGAATGAATATTCTTAGAAATACTCACTGGAGTCCCGCTTAACATTTCAACAAATACGATACTGCCAATCACCCCAAATAGCAGAGGTTTTCATGTTTATTGACAGATCAAATCTGAAATTTCATTAATAAAATACAGCCTATAGTAAAAAGAGATAACGAAGCTGTGTTTTAAAGTTGTTGAGGCAAGAACCACTTGTTTACTACACATGGAATAAAGCCAGTTAGACACCACAGCACTTAAGAGGCAGAAGCAGGTCCATCTCTGTGATCTGGTTTGCATAAGTTCCAGGCCAGGACAGGCTACATAGTGAGATCCTGTGTCAACAACAACAACAAAGCCAGACATGTAATACAGCACTCAGGAGAATGGGACAGGAGGATCACAGTCCCTTCAGTTCAAAGCCAGCCTGGATTACAGAGTGAGACCCTATTTAAAATTAATTAATTAATAAAACTTTTACTATGAAACTTTCAGAAGAACTAAATCTCAATCACAAAACTCACGCTGGTGGGGCCTCCAGACTGGGCACCTCAGTGCCAGAGCAGGACTATAACCCATAGGAGCTCCAGAAGTACTAAACCCCTGGCTTCGTCTTTGATCCAAAATGCCTTCTTGTAATGAACTTCTTGTAACCAAAGCTATGCAAGGTTATGCCAAGGTGGTCGCACTGTCCAAAAGACCATGAAGGTTCCATGTGAATCCCAAATAAGTCTTTAAAATATATTACCTTAAGGTGTCTTCTAAGGTCATCTGCTTTCCAAGTGTCATCTTTGGTTCTTCTCTAAAATCAAAGTACAAAATCAGAACTATCAAGTCAGGCATGGTGGGACACACCACATCCTATCACTCAGGAAGCGGAGTCAGAAAGATTCCAAGTTCCAAGACACTTTCAGCTATATAAGGAGGTTCTAGGTGAAAAAAATTTCAAATAACCAATTTTATGTTTTCATTATACTGTTTGTATCAAGAATAACTAACTAGCACATACTTGATCTCCTACTGAAATGAAAGATGATCCAAACAGAGGCCACAATGGGACCCACACCTGTAACCCCAGCACTTGGGTGCCTAGGAAGGAGGATGCAGAGTCCGAGGCCAGCCTCACATACATAGGGATATTCTGTCTCAAAAGGAAACAAAAAAGGGATACAAATATAGATTTGTTTAAAATAATTCACTAGTCTAAAGTGATCCATAATTATTACAGGACACATTCATTTAGCTACTTCAAAAACTACTAAACATACTGAACAAAACTGACAACATAACGGTGGCAGCTACAGGACAGATCTAGGGCAAGCACTCTGTGAGCACGTGTCAGACGTGAACCGGAAGGATAGCACTGGCTGCTTTCTAGAGGCCTGTGTTCAAGTCCCAGCACCTACACAGCACTGACAACTGTCTACAACTTCAGTTGCAGGGGCTCTCACCTCATCTTCTAGCCTCCTCAGAAAACAGGCAAGTTTACAGATATACAAGCAGGCAAAACACCCATACACATAATTTTTTATTTAAGCAAAAAATGCCAGAAAGTATTTTTCCGATAGGCCAATAAACTCTCTCATCCCAAGTACTGAGCACAGGGCTGAGTCAAGGATTTCTGCTCCTTCTGCTGTGGCTGGCCCATCATAGACCAGAAGGAGATAGTGTGACTACCCAAAAATGTGGCTCCCACTTTGCCTTCCTTGACTACCTACTACAGGAGCTCAGCTGTAAAGAAAGGCACTATAGCGGAGGCCCCACAGCATCTGCTGGAGGCCAAGATGTGAGAGTCCACCCAATGAAACACCACGTACAAGCCCCAAACCTGAATCTGCCTATTTTAGATCCCAGACGTTAGAGGAGCAGAATAAGTCTTCTAAGTTGTATGTTCTCAGATTCCAAATCCACGAAAACAAAATTAAAATAAAAAACATCACTGATGTTCTAACAAATTTAAAGTGATTTTCTTTCTCTACAAAAATAAAAACCAGTAGGTAAGAGTAGACAAAATTTTCATTTAGCATCCAGTGCACATCAGATGCTATACTAGGTCGAATACACTATTTGAATCTCACTCTGTTGAGAAGAGTACTGGGTACTAGAGAAGTGGGTCAGTTGGTAAAGGAGTTGCCTCAAATGCGGGAGGAACTGCCAGGCATAGTGGCGCACGCCTTTAATCCCAGTACTCCGGAGGCAGAGGCAGGTGGATCTCTGAGTTGAGGCCAGCTTGGTCTACAAAGCGAGATCCAGACAGAGTAAGAGCCTGTCCCAAACAAAACAAAACCAAAGTATGAGGAACTAAGACCTTGTTCTCAGAACTCCAACTTAAAAGCCTGATGTGGCTGGCCCTCCTTCCAACTCACCTCCATGCCCAGGGCTTCAGTCTCTTGCTGCAGACCCACTGTCCGCCTAGATCTTCCCAAAAGAGAAACTCCCCACAACACATAATGATCAAAACACTAAATTACAGAACAAAGAAAGAATATTAAATGTGGCCAGGGAAAAAGACCAAGTCACATATAAAGGTAGGCCCATTGGAATAATACCTGATTTTTCAATGGAGATTTTAAAAGCCAGGAAGGACCTAGTTAAGCTCTGAGAGACCACAGGTGCCAGCACAGATTACTCAACCCAGCAAAGCTATCAATCACAATCCACTAAGAAAGAAAAACATGTCAAGATGCAAAACAATTAGCTGTCAACTAATCTAGCTCTACAGAAGGCACTCCAGGGAAGCTGAGACTGCAAAGAAGGTTGACCACACCAGCAGCTCTCTTCCTAATGCTGCAGCCCTTTCATAGAGTTCCTAATGCTGTAGGGAGCCCGTTCATAAAACCATTCAGTTGTTACTCCAAAGGTGTAATTTTGCTACTGTTATGGATCATAATGTAAATATGATATGCAGGTTATCTGACATGCAACCCCCCAAAAGGATGAAATCGACAGATTAAGAACCGTTGGACTATAGACAGGAGGACATAAGAATTAAATAATCCCAGAACAGTGTATTAAATAGTGGGGGAGGGCCGGGCGGTGGTGGCGCACGTCTTTAATCCCAGCACTCGGGAGGCAGAGGCAGGCGGATCTCTGTGAGTTCGAGACCAGCCTGGTCTACAAGAGCTAGTTCCAGGACAGGCTCCAAAACCACATAGAAACCTTGTCTCGAAAAATCAAAAAAAAAAAAAATAGTGGGGGAGGGGGCAGGGAAATAACCCCACAACAACAACAAATAACAAGAATAAACCCTGCTCATTAATAACTCCCAAGAGTCTCAATTCCCCAATAAAAAGACATGGACTAACAGACTGGATTAAAAAACAGGCTCCATATTTCTGCTGCATCCAAGAAACACACCTCACCTGAAGGACAGATATCACCTTAGAATCAAAGGATGGAAAAAGGTATTCCAAGCAAATGAACCCCCCCCCAAAAAAAAACAGGTATAGCCACTTTAAATACGAGACAAAACAGACTTCAAGCCAAACCTAGTCAGAAGAAACAGGAAAAAAGGCACTAGATGCTTAGCAAAAGGGAAAAAATGGATGTTACACTTCTAAAGATTTATGCACCAAACACAAGGGCACCCAAGTTCATAAAAGAAACACTACCATGGCTAAAATCACACTTTGGCCTTCACACAGTGATAGTGGATGACTTCAGTACCCCACTCCCATTAACAGAGAGCTCGTCCAGACAAAAACTAAGCAGAAATACTGGAATTCAACAACATCATAGGTCAAATGGACATAACAGGCATCTACAGAACATTCCACCCAAACACTAACAAACATACCTTCTTCGCAGCAGCTCATGGAACTGTCTCCAAAAGTGACCACGTATTAGAACACAAAGCAAGTTTCAGCACATATAAGGAAACTGGAATAACACCCTGTCCCCAACCCGAGCACCATGGAAGAAAGCTGAATATCAACAACGGAAGAAATGACAGGAAGCTCACAAACTTCGTGGACACTGAATGGCTCACTGCTTAATTTCAAGGAAGAAATAAAAAATTAAAAAAGTTTTTAGAATTGAATGAAAATGAAAATACAACATACTCGAACCTAAGGGACACAGTGAACAAAGCTCTTAAAGGCAAGTTCATAGTACTAACTGCTTCCATCAAACAACTGGAACTTCATGCTACACCTGACAACTCTAGAAAAAGAAGAAGAAAGAACACCCCGAAACAGTAGATGGCAAGAAATAATCAAACTCAGTTTAATCCCAGCACTCGGGAGGCAGAGGCAGGCAGATCTCTGTGAGTTCGAGACCAGCTCTGGTCTACAGAGCTAGTTCCAGGACAGGCTCCACAGCCACAGAGAAACCCTGTCTCGAAAAACCAAAAAAAAAAAAAAAAAAAAAGAAAAAGAAAAAAAAAGAAAGAAATAATCAAACTCAGGAGTAGAATCAATGAAATAGTAACAACAACAAAAACCAATATAAAGAATCAATAAAACTAAGAGCTGGGTCTTTGGGAGAAAAAACCAACAAAATGGAGAGACTTGTATCCAGTAAACCAAAAGATGGAAAGATAATCAAAATTAATTAAAACAGATGAAAAAGGACCCATCATAACAGACACTGAAGTAATTCATAGGATTTATCATAGGCAATTGATGGAATCATAAGGACCAGAAAAATTCGACATGGATTTCTTAATACAAAGAACCTACAAAAGTTAAAGTCAACAACCTTATCTACTGTCGACTCAAATGTGACACCTTTCAGCTTTTTTATTTGTTATTTGCTTTTGTTTTGTTTTGTTTTAAACTATAAAGAAGATCAGCCCCCATAAAGGGTGCCTCGAGACCAGGAGTTCTATGCCTTCCTTAAGTTGATTCTCAGCCATGCCTCTGGGTAAGTTCAGAAACTCCTCCACAAACAGCACCTGGAGCAGAATAGAGAGAAGCGGCTGCAAAGCTAAGAACCCCCGGACCCAAACTCCACCTCCAGCTCTCTCCTCAGTTCCGAGGGAGAAATGCGGTCTCTTTTGCTGCGAAAGAGTGGGGAAACACGGGCGCGGACTGAACCCCGCGGCACACCAACCTTCCCAGGCTCCATGGCTCCTCGAGGCCGGGGCAGCCGCGTGTCTTCAGCCCAGGAGGCGCGGGGCACCCGGGAAAGTCAAATCCGATGTCGCTCAGCCTCCACTAACCAGCCAAGGCCTACGGGTCGAGGCTCCCCTAGCAGGCTGGCGTTCCCGTCTCCTAGCAACCAGTCGACGTTGCGGGCCCAGCATGCCCCACGGCTGTTCCCAGTACGCCTGCGCAAACTTGCTTTTTGCAAACCGGCGGGAGCCGTTGTAAGCTCTTGTGTGTGTCTGGTTTCCTGAGCGGCTTTTGTATCTTGTGGTGTCCTTTTCTCATCCTTGGTGCCCACAGTTGACAACGAAAGATGAAAAGGAGACGATGGATGAGCTTTATACTCAACAAGCTTTGTCTTTCAAACCGCACCCCATAGACTGTCTTTTAATGAAAACCGTTTGTGGTCGGCTGTGATGGTGCACACTTTTAATCCTATTAAAATGGAGACAAGGCAGGAACATCTTTGTGAGTTCAGACCAGGCTTTCTCCATGCTGAACATAGGATGTATCTGCTGAAAGGTTGAGGAGTGAACGTATGTTACCATTCTGAGCTTCTGCAGACGAGAAATTTATTTTGCCCCACTTTTCCAAGCCACAGGCTACTGTAACCCGGTTTAGGATTTATGACAGTCCGCCTGCTCAAGGTGGTCGCTAACCCAACTCCTTGGCATACAAAAAGTACTAACAAATACACTAATTCTTTGATATTTGTCTAAAGTCTTTTATTATCTTTGTTTCCATTTATCGGCACATTCTTTAGAAGGAAGGTAATCTTGGTGGTGGTTGTGACTTATTTTGCTCCGGTTCTCATAGCAACTTGTTTTACTGGTTTTTGTCTATGGCCAAAAAGAATGATAAACTTTTACAGATTGCTCACCAAGGCTGGTAAATGATCTGATGCCAACGCCCATTCTCTTAAGCCTTATATCACATCATACCTACCGGGAAAACAGCTGATGGAAAGCACCATAATTATTGAATGAGAAATAAAGCCACTGCCCACCGTGCTAGGAAAAGTCACACAAATTTCAAGCAGCATCCTCCGTTATCTGCAACCATGCTCCTACTTAAACCCACTTTTCTCCACTCTAGTCCCTAACTAACCCTTGCTTCATCACAGACAATACTCTCTAAAATGAAGTCACCCAGTTAGGTCATGCAACCACTGACTGACACGGTAAAACGTGCACCTCCACCTCTGACAGTTCACTACCCAGGGTAACTGAAAATAACCTTGGCTAATAAGACAATAATGGCTTCCTGGGAGAACACGATATTTTTGCATAGTCACACAAGTATACTAGCTGCCATGGGTACAAGAGGGACTTCATTCCTACCTGAGTTAGGGCAGCTGTTTCAAAGTAGTGGTGAGTGGGATCATCTAGAGCAGCAGAGGCAAGCAGAATCTTCTCGATGCTCTTGACCATCACATTGTCAAGAGTAGGACCACCAAAGGGGCATCAAACTCTATCAAGGTGTTCGGAGTACATAGGTGCAGTAGAGTCTTCCAGAACAAAGCCCAAGCCCATGGCAGGTACAATGATTTCTGCGACTAGGATGGTCTCTTTCAGGTAGCCACAGCTTATTGGGAGGTGAAGTTTGTTGAATCAGTTGTGATATATCCAATTTGAACAGCTGCCAATGTGACCACCCATGAGTCAGTTGTGATGTTCCTACTTAGATCAGCTGCAAACGTGATCACCCATGGAAGGGTGAAGAGTAGCTGTTTGGTTGACAATGGCCCTGCTCTGAAGTTTTTGTTGCTGTTGAACCTCGAATTGACTTAAGGTCTTCAGCAGCCTGCACCACCCAAATAGTGCACAGGTTCTACTCCTGGGGAAACAGGTCTGACAGAATGTACATACACCAAGAGGTCAACAGACCATTCTTGGTAGCTTCTTTTATAAAGAAAATGTGCTTACACATAATCCCAGCTGGGTGGGGGGCTGAGGCAAGAAGATTTTGAGTTAAGAGACCAGACTGTGCTGTATAGAGAGAAACTGTCTCAAACAAAATAACACATTATTTGAGTGCTCACATCAGGTATGAGAGAAAGGCCAATGAGATGACAGAAGTAGTTAAGATGCTCATGGTCAGGCTTGACATCCTACACTCATCATTTAGGATCACATGGTAGAAGGACAGAAGAGAGAGGTTGGATCCTGCAGAATTACCAATATCTTCATGCCTTACTATATCTGAAGAGTTAAGAGGTTTTCCACCTATAGATGGCAACAAAACGATTATTTCCTTAGTATCTGATTTTTCAATAAATCATATAAGCCTTGCAATATTTTCCACATTTGCTTATTCACTAGAAGATTCTGTGAATCCAGGCTGACGACCTGGTAACTTCCAGAGTGCTAGAAATAGAAAATATACATTCTGGCCCTCTAGTGCTCATAACTATTGAGAAAGATTATATAATCAATCATTAAATGATATAAAAGGTCAAGAGCAGATTATAAATTGCAGTGATTGAGTAAATGACAGATATCTGCCTAGAATAAAAGGATAAACTTAAGACAGGCTTCATTTTGGTTAGAATTTTAAGCATAATTAACCAGAAAAAAAGAGCTAGGACTCAACACTCTGAGGCAGAAAAACAAAAGTAGATACAAACTTCGAGGGAGGAAAGGGTTGGAGTGCTCAGGAGTAACTGTATTTATAACAGAGCTGTGCAGTTGAAATATAATGTGAATTCTACGTGTGGTTACATATTTTCTAATAGGTGTGTGTGTGTGTGTGTGGGCACGCACATGCCCACACGCAAACACACTTTTGTAAGCCAGAAGTCAGTCTTGCGTCTGTCCTCAAGATCTGTCCAACTTGTCTTTTGAGATAAGAAAACTCACTAGGATCTGGGGCTCTCTGATAGACTGGCTGACTGGCTGGAGCGTGCAGGGTCTTTTTTGTCTCCATCTTCCCAGCCCTGGGACTACAAGTGCTTACCACCTTGTCCAGCTTTTTAAGTAGTCTGGGGATCAAACTCAAGTCCTCATTTTTGCAATAACAATCACTTTTAACTGACTGAAGTATCTCCCCAACTCCTAAAGTTATATTGTTTGCATGTGTGTTTCTGTAGTGAGTGGATATGTGTATACACGCTTGCACATGTGAGGATGTGCACAAGGTGAGTTGTGTTTCCCCTGTGTGCAAGAGACTGATGTCAGGTGTCTTCCTTGATTGCACTCCACTTTGATTCACGGAGTCAGGATCTCTTGCTGAACCGAGATCAGCTAATATGTCAGCCAAATGGCTTCAGAGAGTTCCTCTTCCTGAGCACTAAGAAGCAGACTGCCTTACCTGGCTTTTGTTTGAGCACTGGGGATCTGAACTCTGGTCCTCATGCTTATATGACAAGTGTTTATTGATTGAGCCATGTATGTCACTAGCCCCAATAGCCACATTTTAAAAGTTGAAAACATTAATTCAAGTGTATAGTTTACCAAAGAGACAGACATCAATTGTTATCTCTTTATCATGTAATATACTGAAATACTAAATTATTTTAAATTTTTGTACTGTCTTCAAAGTTCTGTACTTACAGTATATCTCAAATTAAGACTAGCCACATCCCAAGTACCCCAACCTGTGTTTAGTAGCTTCTGTAATGAGCAGAGCATACCTACAGTAAAGGGTCTGCATTGTTCCTGGGGAGGTGGCTAGAAATGAAAAGGGAGGTGTATGCAAATCTGTAAAGGGTACTGAACGTTATGACACAAAACTTTTAAATGTAAGGCTATAAAACAATGCATTCAAGTGGGAGAAAATGTGTTGTAGTTGGATCTTGGAATGGGTTCATGGAAAAAGAATAGAAGCCAGCAATAAGGGGAAGGGCCAAGTGAGGAGCACTACCCTCTGCTCTAGAGCACAATCCTACTGTTGTTGCCTAAGTCTCCACAACATATTTAGATGCATGGCCTTTATGTAAGTAGCTTGCCTGAGAGATGGACGCTTTCCTTCATTCCTGTCCATTCACAGCTAGTTCCCAAAAAATTCTTGTGTTGATCAAGCACCATTTCCACTGCAAATTAAATCAAAGTCCATATCTTATGCACTTACTATTATCCTATGTCTTCTCCTTTTATATAATTTTAATTTTTAATTTCTATGTCCTTAGTTAGGCTATACATTAGTTATATTTCATGTTATAATAGATAAAAAGTCATTGTATTTACATATTTTATATATATGAGTGCTTTATTTGCATGTATGCCTGAATGACAGAAGAGGACATCACACAGAAGAGGACAACAGATCCCATCACAGGTTGTGAACCACCTGTGGTTGCTGGGAATTAAACTTAGAACCTCTGAGACAGTATCCAGTGCTCTTAATCGCTGAGCCATCCAAACATAATCTTTTTATTTCACAACGAAAACCAACTTTGTTACAAAAACCTCTGACATCTCTCCAGGTTTTATAGTTACATGTGGCATTGGCAGAATGTCCTTGTATATAGATGCTTCATAAAGACTACCTACATTGTTAACGTAAGCTTGATATTTATACAAAGTGGCAATGAGACAGAATAGCATATACCTTACCCTTCCCCAAAGTATACACTTTGTTTTCTTCTTTTTACCAACTCACTGAAATGCAAAAGCAAGGTTTATTGTGTAACCATGTTCAAACCGCCAGGGACCTCATCAGCGCAGCAGTGAGAGGAGGTAACCCACCCTTCTAGAGGGCACTATTTAAAGGCAAAAATCAGAAAAGTTACATTAGCAGAGTGTGGGGTGATGGGTTCACTCCTGATTGGCTCGAGTCTAGGGACTTTTCACAAATTTTATTTTTGAACCTCACCTATTACTTGTCAAGTTTTCTTATCAACTGACCTTTGGGTGGGGACATTTTACTGTTTTCTGTACATTCTAGATGGTTACCCTGTTACTTTTGCCCATAGCCATTTCTGAAGACTGGAATATTTTATGGGAAATAGCTTACATAAGACACAAGATAGAGGCGGAGAACAAAATGGAGGAACTTTTGTTTTTCACTTAATTAAGGTAATCTTGGTAAATTACTCACAGATATGTTCAGAGATTTATTTCCATAGTGATTCAAAAATCATCAAGCTGACAATCAAGATTAA